AACAGGTTTGGAGTGCAACTCCAAAGGATCCTATTGAAATACATAGATAAGTTTTTACTTCTGAAAAACAGAAGTAAACAGAAAAGCCTGTTTAGTTATTGCAGAATAACTCAGTAGGGACAGTGCTTCTAAGGGAACTCTAGCTTTGAGGCACAACGTGGTGTTGATTAGTGCAAATAAAGCTCTTCAAGAGTCACCTTTCAGCAATTACAATCAGACACTGCCACTGTGGCTTCAAAAGCTTCATTAGCAAACTCTGCTCCTAGTGAGAGCTGTGAATCTCAGATACCCCAGAAGTTTTAGCTGATGGAGAAATATCTTCACTTATTTATTTTCTTCCAAATGAAAGATAATAACATATTCCTTCATCTGGATAAACAGCATTAAAAATCAAAATAGATCCTGCTGAAGAAAACACAGCCAGTGGTATAGTTCTAAAGAGATGAGGATAATTTTCCAATTGAATATGATGAAGTCAGGGCACCTTAAAATTTTATTGTTACCTAAAGCAACAATCTAACAAAATGCAGGGTGTTTTAGATGTAGCCAAAAGAAAGGTATAATAAAGAATTTTTTTCTATTTTTGTTAGGATTCTCTAATGAAACACCTGCAAATACTGGAAACAATTTTCTAGCAGTTTTCTCTTAATACACAAATAGAAGATTATGATATTTTCAATTCTTTCTTGGTTAAGGCAAGGGCAGTTGGCAGTGCTTTGTTCGTTGTCATCATGCCAAATACTGGCAGGCTCTTTTGCAGTGTCAGTGGTGATCTGTTTCCACAGTTAGTGGGAAGACTTCTTGCTGATTTGCCTGCCAATGTACTAACCTCCCATTAAAATAGTGGGACAAATTAAGTTTAGTGCTCTTGCTAATTTCCACATGAATTCATTATTTGGCAGCTATAATAAATGTTGTTTGCCAGAGTTCCTCCTTAACCTGTGTATCTTACTGACGCACTCACTGCTTTGTATATACTGTAGTTAATTGTTTAAGAATTTAATGAAACTACCATAAGGTATCAAAGAAATAATTACAGCAATAGTTGACTTTGTTCTTGTATCAGTAATGGGCTAGTTTATTAGGAAAGACTTGGGAAACCACCAAGTAGAAGTTGTGTTTTCCTGATTTTCAATCAGCTCTGTTGTCTAGCTTGTCTCTCTCTAACTGATCTGTGGCTAGACAAATGGGCTCCTACAGTTTGATTCTATCCAGAAGTGTTTGGAGAATAAAATCACTTAAAAATAATCCATTGGCCAGAATCAATCATGGAGCAGTCTTGGGTGTTACTGGTCTTCCAATAAAACACACTGTACTTGTACCTGTTCTCTCCAGAGCATCACAGCCAGACATTTTAGAACAGAGAATAAGTAAACCCAAGATAGCTGTTATTCAGATAAAATTATTAATATTAGTTTTTCTATTGACCAAATAATGGTGGCCTGCTTACCCTTAGGTTTGACATGACTTCTGTTGTGAAACTGGTACAAATCATAGGTGTTAGCTTGGAAAGAAGCTTGGAAGTCATCCAGGACTCAAAGCAGGATCAACACTGGAGTCACACCAGGCTGTCCAGGGCTTTTTTCAGCTGGGTCCAGATGCCTTCAAAGTTGACATCATGTTTCTGGGTCCCTGTTGTGATGCTTTTTATCCTCTGGGTGAACAATGTTTTCCTTGTGTCTAGATGGAACTATTTCTATTTCACCATCTTATCTTCCGGCCATGCAGCACTGTGAAGAACCTGCCTTTGCTGGCTCTGTCTTCCTGCTGAACTCCCTTCCCCCCCAGGTTATCCCTGTGTCTGAGGAAAGGGCAGTCATTGCTTCCCTCCAGCTCCTGGCTGTGCTTCAGTTGGCACAGCCCAGCATGCTGTTGGCTTTCCCTGCTGCCTCACATTTAACCTGCCTAAAGCAAGGAGCTGTGTGAAACTGGGACTGACTTTTCTGTCCCTCAGACATCCAGCAGCACATCTCCTTTACCATGAAGCTTATTCATGGAAGTCAGGGATATTACTGAAGCTTATAGCACATAGAGCCAAGATTTCAGAAAGCAAAGGGAACAGAAATAAGCCATGTGAAATTCCTCGTGTGAAATTTTCTGCAGGAGATGTCAGATGTAATTAAAATACTTCTCTTAGGTAGGACTGGGGAGGGAGAAAAGCTTGATAAATTATTTGTTGACAGAAAAAAGGATTAAAAAAGGTTTTTAGCATGTATTTGAAATGTCTACCTAGGAAACCCCCCAAAGCATCTCCTTTGAAAACTGACTGAATCATTTGTTGCAGCTGTTTGGTCTGGGCTCTAAGGTTTTTAGGTCTCAGATTTAAATGTTAGACAAACATAATGACCAGAGTCCTGTGTGACATCCATATTAGGCTCCAAGTGAGAGCAGGTTTTACAGTTTCCAAATTGCCTTGCTTTGAGAAGAGATGGTGCTTTAGATTTGAACCTCTGTTATTTTGTAGTCTGTGTGTAATAAGCACATTGGGAAATAAAGGCAAATGGAGTTTCTGGCTTGGCTTAAAGAGAACTTCTGGTCAACATTGTCTCTAGTGGAATTATGTTACCAACAACAATGAAGAGTTGCCAAAAACATATAAATGTATCTATCTCAGGAGGGGAAGCTGTTAATGAGATTGTCCTTCTATGAGTAATCCTGTACCCCGACCACCTCCTATGAGATTACCCTTTGAAAAAACAAGCCCACTGAGAAGTCGTGCTGTGTTGGGGAGAGAGTTGTATGGAGCAATTAACCACCGGGGCTCAATGCTGATTGCAAGTGGCTGCTGATCCACCAAGGAAAATCCTCATACCAAACCCAAGAGAAGCCAGGAGCAAGGCATTAGAGGGGTGTGCAGCACCATACCCTGGAACAAGCACACTGAGCCCTCAGTGAGTTTCCAAAACCAGCTGGGTTCTAGTTTTGTTAAAATATGTTTTAGATTGTTTAAAGAGGTTGGATCTAGTTTTGTTAACTCATGCCTGAGTTAAGACAGAAATGAGGCAGAAATAAGTAAGCAAACTTGTTAGATTCACACTGGTGCTACAGGACATGAGGATAAATATAAAAATAAATAATGGCCTGGCAGTGTGTCTTTCAGCACAGCAGGCTAATTTCACCTCTGACAGCACAGGGGTGCTGTTATGACTATCCTGTGCTGTACATTTTATCCACTACAAAACTTTTCTAGCACATAATATTTCCTCAATATGGAGCTGGCATGAGAACCATGCAAAGCAAGCTGGCACACCTGACCCTGTGTGTCCTAGGAATTTTTGTTCAAAGTTTTCATTCTGCTGATGGATTTCCATTCTAGCCAATTTTGAAGTGAGATGGTTTAGCAGGAAGCAAAGCCAGTGTGTGGATCTCCTTTTGACTGGCCAGAGGGAGAGGTAAGTATACAAGTGGACACATAAATGGGCAGGGAAATGTGAATTGTAAATGGAAATTGTAAGAATTGAAACATGAATTGTGGGCAAATAGCTTATTGTCCATCATGGTCACACTGGAGAGCAAATGGATGAGTGGCAAGCAGGTACTGCTCAGGGGTGTAGACTGGTGACAAAGTGACACCAGAAGCCAGCAGCAGCAAGGCAATAGCACAGTACACCAAAACTTGGTGGGACAACCAAGTCACAATGAATATTGGAGAATTTGGGAGCTCCTCCAAATCCCAATAAACCAGAATCCTGCTGTTTCAAGCACACAAATTTCCATTGTGTGAAGCATTAAAAAAAAAAAACAAAAAAACCCCAAAACATAAATGTGAAACTGGGCAAAGGCTTTTGGGAACAACTTGTAAGTACTTGAAACTTACTGTAATATCTTAGTGTCTATCCAAGCATATTTCATTTATCCTGTTCCCTGCAATGGTATTCACAGTCGGGTTTGACATGTGGGTTTCCCTCTAAAGTGGAAAGGAGGTCTGCTTGTCCTCACTATAATTTTTAATTGAATTTATGTTCAGTCAGCATAACATGATTGCTCTAAAGATGGCTTCTGTCTGCCCACAATAAGGTTAAGACTCAATTAGTAGTTACAGCATCTAACGATGTTTCACCACTTGCCAGAAGGCTCAAGCAGCATCTGGCCAGCTGCCGGCACCAGTTCAGCTCCCGTTTCCCTTTGCAGGGGTGCTGGGCCACCCTCCCCGGGAGCACTGAGTGAGGGATGGGCTGTCCTGGGGCTCCCTGTGCCCCATCCCTGCTCCAGCTGTTCCCTGCACTGCACAGTGTAGCACAAAACCATGAACACATCATTCACACCCTCGCTCCGCAGTCCCCCGAAGGTGCACAGCTGCTAGGAAAACTGCTGAGATGATAATAAGGTTTTTGGTGTCTTTATGTGAGGATTAAGGGTTTTTTTCATCTTGAAGAAATTAATTTAATCAACAATTGTATCAACCAGTAACCCTCAAAAAAATCTGCATGACCGTTAGCTGACAAAACCCCAGATGAAGCCTGTTGTGTTCCTTCCTAAGGTTTTTCCTTTCTACTTCTGCCCATGTGACCCTGAAAAGCTCATTTTTGCACTATATTCTTAGCACAAAACAAATGAGAGCTCTTTCTATCTTCCTTCTTTTTAAGGCGTGTCCAGTTTTCCCATCAATCTTACTACTTATCCAGAAAGTTAACAAACATTGGAATGTATGTGATGGTGTCAATAGTTATCTGAAATACCAATGTTACATATATATGTAGGCATTTGATCTTGGTTGTAACTTAATTAACAGCAGGTAAATAAAAAATACATAATTTTTGATTTATGAGAGAAAATGGGCAGACATGTAATTTGAAGGCAACCAGGAGAAAAAAAAAACAAACCATCAAAATTGTAAATGAGAATTCTACCAGCAAAGGAACACTAGAAATTGTATTGTCTGACATTTTATATTTGGTCATGTAGGTCAGATACTATCATTTTGTCAAGGTCTACTACGTTCAGTCTACTTTATGTACAAATTTTGGAGAGCAAACGTCAAACATCCCACCTTCTTCCCGTCAAGCTTCTCCTGCACAGGAGTGGTGCGAGCAGCTTGTCCATCGGATGGGTTTCCTTAGGCGTTCCCTGTCGCAGGTACTCACGGCTCGCCTGTATTTATTTACCCGTTTGGTGAGAGCTGAGGGGCGGGAGCACCAGAACCGGGGGCTGTGAGGGGCCGGGAGCTGTGCGGGACCAGGATCCGTGAGGGGCCGGGGGCTGTGGGGGACCGGGATCCGTGAGCTGTGAGGGGCCGGGGGCTGTGCGGGACCGGGGGCTGTGAGGGACCGGGATCCGTGAGGGGCCGGGGGCTGTGAGGGACTGGGGGGGCGTGTCTGGGGGCGTGGGGGTGTCCTGGGGCGTTTCCCGAGGGGCGGGGGCGTGACCCGGGTGTGTCCCGAGCGTGTCCCGGGTGTGTCCCGAGCGTGTCCCGGGTGTGTCCAGTGTCTGTCCGATATCCCGAGCGCGTCGCGGGCGGCGGTGCCGGTGCAGCCCCGCCCCGCCGTGACCTCAGCGCGCCTCACGTGATGCAGGTGCGGCCCCCGCCCCGCCGCTCCCGGCGCTCGCTCCCTTTGCTGCGCGCCCTCCCCGCCGCCCCCCCGCGGATGCGCCGGAGCCTCCGCGCCCCCGCAGGTCTGTCCGCGCCGGTGAGGGGCGGGGGGCGGCCGCGGGGCAGGGCCCGTCCCCCGCGCAGGCCCCCGGCGCGGCGGGGCCTCTCGCCGTGCGCCTGAGGGGGTCGCGCCGCAGGCCGGGCCGGGCCCCGGAGCGTGGGGTGAGCGGGGCCGCCCGGCCCGGCCCGGCTCTGGTGATGCCTCAGCCCCGGAGCAGCCGGGAGCGCCTTGAGAGCCCGGCCCGCTCCGGCCCCCGGGGCCAGGGTGACCAGGACACTGCGTCCTGGCGTTACGGGGAGGGGCCGCAGAACAAACCCGACCCTCCCGGATCCTCCCTCTGCTCTATTGGTAGCCTGGAGTCTATGGTGGTGTCATCCCTCTGGTACCCGCTGAAGGCGTTTTTCGGGGCACTGGAATAAACGCGTTAAGTTTCGTGGCACCGAGACGCTTCCATTGCCCAGGACTGGCGGGGTGCACCACGGGGCCAATGCGCCGCTGGAAATCCTCCTGCAGGGCAACTTTCTGTGTGGAGAGTTAGGATTCTCTATACAGCACGGCATTTCTGTGCTGGGGGAAAAGAAACATTCAGTGCAGGGAGGTATCCCTGAAGTAGCCGTATTTAATAAGGATATTCCCTGTATCTGTAATTTAAGTTATCTATGATAATCTTTTGGAGAAGCTTTCTAATGTTAATCCATTTTTTTCACTGTCAGCCTTGTTTTATTTGAATTAGTCAGTCTTGAAAAGAGCAGTAAGAGTAAGCTGTGTGGGGAATATTGTGGGAAATTAACACGATAGTGGATAAAGAACTGTTTTTATGAAATATGGACCAGATTTTTTAACCACCACTTCTGCAGAGCATAATGAACATTAGCAGCAGGGTTTCACATGGATTAAGAAACTCAGTAAGGGCACTGACAATACCAGGAGGACATTAATTCCTATGTACAGTGTATTTATTCTGAAAGTGATCTTGAAAAGAGCTCGATAAAAACTTTATTATCCTAGGTGTCTGCTGTCTGTTTTCCACGTGCTTCTATGACCCTCTAGAAACCTGGGTAGAATAATTCCCAAGACTGTGACATTAGGGCACTTCTAGAGGTGGAAGTGCCAAGGTGAAAGCTAGGTCGTCGTTTGAGACAGAACAGCTGCAGGAATTTTCAGCTACTTAGGGCTTTCATTTACTTCCACCATTTTGAGGGTGCTGTGATGCATTAAATATCAGGTTGTTCTTGTGGTTCACTGCTTCTTTCTTCTTTTTGACCTCTGGTAGAGATTTAGTTAATACCGTTCTTTAGGCTGCTCTTAGCTCAGCTTGATCCCTTTCCAATCACTGTTTTCATTTCAGGGTTGGTTTGGGAAACAGTGGAGTGGAACAGGTCTGACTCTTCTGACTCCTGTGCGCTGTCCTCGGTGCTGATCTCTGACTGACGGTCTCAAGGCCGAGCGGGCTGGGATGGTCTGGGATCGCGGGGGTGGTCTCTGCTTTGTTTAGCTGCTGACAGCTGACATCTGTGCTGAAGGGCGATATGGGCAGAAGGAAAAACTAGGAAGAAGTCCGGGGTTTTGAGTCATATTAAGCTGTAACTGAAAGCTGACTGGAATGACATAGCTCCAGTACGCTTTTGTAGATTGCATAAGCAGTAGTTACTGCTTGAAATATGGATCTGACCCCATTTTGAAATTTAAACGGAACCAGAAGGAAGTGACTGGTACCACTTAAAAGCTCTTCTTGTCTGTTATATATTATGTAATTTGCATCCATTTTCCAATCTCCCTAACAAATTTTTCTTATTCTGTTATGTGTTCTTTACTAACTTCTAGAAGAAAGAATTACACATTCTTCAGGCAGACATATGATGAAGAAAAAATGTAAAATTACTCATGTTTAAGAAGCCTGCCACTGCAGTATGATAAACTGGGAAAAACGTTTCTCTTTTTCCTTTCTCTGTCAAGTCTTCACAAAGTACTTTAAGTGAGAGTAGGTAATCCCTTAGGAGTGAGTGTACATGTGCAAAGGTTTTGTGGCAGAAGGTGAGATTTGCATCCAGTAAGGTAGGTGCAATAATAACAATAATTTCTATGACAGTGGGCACAGACATAAAGTTATACGTGCCATAGTGCCTTCTCTGTTCTTACTTATAACATGTTGAAATGTCACCCAGTTTTGCAAAATGATGTAATGAATGCTTGCTGTTAAATCTTACAGAGAATTATGTGTGCAGGCAGTATTTGAGTTCTTTCAGTGCTTTTGCAGGACTTAATCTGCTTCCAAAATGGTGCTGGTGGTGTTTGTGTCTCCAGTTGCCTGGGAGCCCTGGTCAGAGATGGGTGTTGACACAGGTGTTACAATAAGCTTTGAACGTGTGAAGTGGGAAATGAAAAAAGAATATAAGCAGATAGGAAATAACACTGATGAGTAGGGATTCAGCATGCCAGTGGCCCAGCTGCTGCCAGTTTGCTGCAAATACCAGGTGGAGAGATAAGGGTGTGTGATTTGAGGAGCTCATAGGTTTAAATGAGGTGCTAGTTTCAGTGCTGCTGCCTTGGAAGAACACTTCCATGTGTCTGGGCACATGGAGAATGTGGACAAGTGCTTGTTTAGGGCATCCTAAACAAGGGATGATGGTCTGCTGGTGGGTGAGAGTGAAAAGGCTGCAGAAGTCTTCAAAGAGTAGACAAGGGAACCTGGTATGATCAAGGTCAGTTCACTGCTGGAATGATACTTAATGTAGTGACTAAGAAAAGGATCTAGTAGTCAGTTTTTAAAATAGATGTTGAGCTAAAAATGTGATGCCAGAGAAGAGCAAGCAGTAATGCGGTTTTATTTAGTAGGAGCCTTTTTTTTTTTTTTTTAAGGATCAGTATTAATTTTAAATTGGATGATGAAAAATATAGCTATTCCTATCCCTTAAAAAATTAGGCATTTTATAACCATGTGTTTTGTTTTTTGAAAAGAGACTATAAGAAGAGAAACAGTGAGAAATTATTTAATGGGATTTATATACAGAAAATGTTTATGAAGTTTTTTGATTGTATCTATTTTTGAATTAGAGATTAAGAAAACTTAAAATGTAATAGGTAGCATAAAATTTTTTCTATTACTCAAAATAACATTGTTGTTTTAAAAAAACTTAGAAGTTCATTTGGCATCTCAGTACTTTTGCTTTTAGCAATTGTTCAGTCACACCAAGCAACAAAAGACCTTGGGTTTTACCTTGGACCAAATAGATTATTTCCCCAGATGGACAGCTAAACAAATGAGAGACACTTTGGAGTTAAATCTGAATTTTACTTGTTGTAAATTAATACCTTTTCCTTCATGATATTGTAGCTTTCTAAGTACTTTAAAAAATAAATCAAAATTAATTATTTCTCTTTACATTATTGCTATTTCTTTGCAGTTTTAGTAACTTCAGCATTAATAGTGTATTATTTTGGGACTAATTTTAAGATGCATTTGTTCTTTTTTATTTTGATTCCCTTTACTAGCGCTGGAGCTGATGGTGCTCAGCATTCAGGAGATTCAACCCTTATTGTGGGAAACTGAATTGGAAAATTGAATTTCTCAATTAAAAATTTGCATGGAATCTGCTGTCCTTATTAAAAAGCTCATAAGAGATCATTGGAAGCACAAGATAAATGTTGCCAGTTAGGAAAACACATTAAAGTGAGCCTTTTCTCAGTGTTTCACTGTTTGGTTGAAGGCTAATGTCAATATGAACACTTAACTAACACTTCTAATTATTTAGTCAGCTCCATTACACGTGGCAGAAATTTGAGGTAGCAGTTTTTTGTTTTCCACAGCACCTGTTTGCTGACCCCAGCCCAGCCTGACTGGGTAAAAGGCCACAGCTTTCCAAACAGAGGGAAAGCAGCTGGGGTTGCCGGGAGCTCTGCAGAGGTCAGTGATTAACACCCCATTTGTTCCAGGAGCTGGGCCCGGTGGTACAAATGGTGATTGCTCCAAGGGAGCAGGGTGGCATTACCAGTTACAGGAGCTGAGAGAGGAGCTGCCTGATGTGGGGACAGCCAGCAACAGCCACTTCATGGCTGTGGCTGTAGCTTTGAAGGGAGCTTCATGCCTAAGCCTCAGCCTTGAACTAGGGCACCATAGCCAGAAACCTCTGTTTTTGCTGTGAGAATGAAATGTCTGCAATTCATTGACTCTTTTTCTGATTAAGTTTGGTTTTATTTTATTAATAGACTTGGATCGTCTGGCTAATAAACAAACATGAGTCATCTGAAGTTGTTTGCAGCTACGCTGAAGAGGCATGGCTTTAAACTTCTGGAAAATCAGGATATAGCCAGAAGGGCGTTTTTACATGGCCAACGGTATGTTTCATCAGGAACCTCAGAGCCATTCCTGAGTGGGAGTAATTCCAATTATGTGGAGGAAATGTACTATGCATGGCTTGAAAACCCTAAAAGTGTACATAAGGTAAGTCTAAAACTTGACTGTAATGCTGGGCTAAGAATGGAATAGGTTTCTTTTACTTTTTTTACTTTTTAATAAAAAGTTCAGGAAAAGGTCTTGTGTGAAATGAAAAACATGAAATAATTTCCCATCTATTGATTGGTGTAAGATGTGATATTGGAAGTATGAAAGTACAGAGGAGGCACAGGCATGGCGAGCAGAGCAGAAAGAAGGATAAGTACAGACCAGAAATAGACAGCTGCTCTGAAAGTTTATTCCTCCATGGAAATGCTGGTCAAGCAGACAGTTAAGTACTTCATTGCATCCAGAAGAAGACCCAAGAATAAAATATATTTAATTTTTTGGTTTATATTAAGGCTGTATCAGAGAATATATTTAAATAATGTGTTGATGTTGGTACTTCTAAACTGTCTGAAGAAGACGAACATTCAGTTGTCATTGAATTAAACTATGCAAGTTGTAACTTTAAAACTGAATCTGAAATTGTCAGAATATTCTTCTGAAGTATCTTGAAAAGTATTTTGATATGTGTCTTTCCTTCTCTCTTCAGGCAATAGACATTTATTTGCTTTTCTAAAAACTCTATTACCCAAATCCTTTCTTGTGGACAAAGTACATAGGCTTATTTTTTAACAAGCTTTCTGCTGACAAAGAGGGCTCTGTTATGGTGATACATGTATAGTAACTTAAGAAGTTGATGAGAAGTCTGATCAATTCTAAGACAGACAAGTCATTTTCGAGGAAGTAATGTGAATTGTGCTCAAAGTGTTTACCAAATTGGTTGTCTGCTCCCTTATTCTCGAGGCACGTATATCAAAATGTCACTTAGAAGTTGTTGTTGTAAGTCTGATAATCTGTCTAGAGTGTGAGGAAGTGACGCATGCTGAGGGCAGAAACTAAAAAGGAGACCAAAAATGGTGGTTTTGTAGCTGTTTGTTTCCTTTAGATGTTGTGCGTTAACTTAGTCATGTTGAAAGATGACATATGCAGTGCCAACTCTGAAGACTGACTGACATAGCAGATTGATCCTAGGACTTTTATCTTACACCTGAGCTTGGGATGGAGAAACCTTCTCCGGGAATGGCTCTTTCTCAGCTGACTTTGAGCCCTTGTCCTGTAGCTGCCAGCTGAGCTCCACCAGTGTGGGGTGGGATAGCACAGTGTGTGGTGCACTGAATTTCTGCAAAGTCCTCATGATGTGGTAAGGCTGTAGATTGATATCAACCCTTTTATACTGGGGATACTGAAGGGATGAACTCGTGCGTAAGGAGTGACATCAAGGTGACATCTTGTTTTTTATTGTATTTAGGTTATATTGGCTTCTGGCTAACTTCTTCCCTTTTAGATGAATGAGATTCCTGGTTCAGCCCCTTTGCAGTGGAGTGCGTTCTGCTGCTGGGCAGCCCTGCAGGGTCTCTGTGGGTGGGAAGTTGTCTCGGTGCGGGCAGGGGAGCGCAGAGCCCGCCGCAGCCGGGAGCGGGGCGGCAGCGCTGGGGCGCTCCGCTCGGAGCTGGCCGGGGTGCTGAACCGAGCCGGCCGGGGCATGCACATCTGCGGATTGGGGCTCGGGGGGGCAGAAATGCTACAAATCCTGCCGAAAGGCCATCCAACTCGTCTGGCAGTTCAAGCGCAGTCTGATCATGGATCCTGTTGAGGTGATGCAGGTTGTGGGTAGAACAGCAAGCAATAAATGAGCTGACTGAGGAACGCAGGGTGTGGCCTGGGGAGTGGATCCCAGGTGACTCAAGATGCATTTTTGTCGTGGCTTAACCCCATCTGGCAACCACGCAGCCACTTGTGCTTTCTCTCTCACACATATGCACGAATGAGGGAAAGAATTAGCAGGGCGGAAGTGAGAAAACTTGTGGATGGAGATAACGACAGGTTAATAGGGAAAGCAAAGGCTACATGCACAAGCAAAGCAGAACAAAACAAGCTATTCATTCACCAGTTCCTGTGGGCAGGCAGGTGTTCAGCCATCCCCAGGACAGCAGGGCTCCAGCACATGTAATGGTGACTTGGGAGGACAAACACCATCACTCTGAATATCCTCCTCCCTTCTTCTTTCCCCATGCTGAGCATGATGTTGTTTGGAATATCCCTTTGGTCAGTTGAGGTCAGCTGTTCTGGCTGTGTCCCTCCCAGTTCCTTGTGCACCCCGAGCCTCCTTACTGGTGGGATAAGGAGTAGATAGGCCCTGACACTGTGTAAGCTCTGCTCAGCAATAACAAAAATGTTTCTATATTGCCAACCCCGTTTTGAAGCCCAAACCAGTTACTGTGCAATTAAATACCCTAGCCCAAACCAGCATGATTATAAAACTGTGAATTCTTTCCTAGGTTAACTGTGTTTAATAAACTTGCAACAGTAACAAACTGAAGTAAATTCACTCTGTCCCTGATTTATGAGGCTTGAATAATATGATGGATGGAAATAATGGATTACAGCTATTCTTGCCTAAATTATTAGTTTTTTCACAGTCTATGAAAAAAGGGGAGGGGAAGAAGAATGCCAGTTAATTTTACTTTGTTTCATCAACAAAATTAATTTTTAGTTTCTTAAAAACCATCTCATTTCATTGGCTGAAAGCTGCAAATATCTTCCCCAGATTTTTGTTGACAGAAATTGTTCAACTTGAGCTTTCATAAAACAAGTTTAAAATGCTAAGGATTGAAATCACCCTGTTTTCTTAAAAGTTTAGAAAAATTTATGCTGTGATTTTGACTGTAAAGTTGTTCATTTGTCATTTGGGTATGGAAAGGAGAGAAAGTGTTGGAAAATAATGTCAAGAGGCACCACGTGGTGTTGATTATGGTTTTGCTAATGATTTGGCTCTCTGTAGGCCACTCATTTTTGTTGTTTTATTTGGTATGTCCAGCATGATTTAGAGAACCAACTTGTGCATTTAGACATTGCATTCTCTTTCCTGATTTTCCTTTTTATACCTTATTTCTCCTTATGTATCTTGTTAGATAACCCTTTTTCAGAGGGGATGTGCCTCCTCATTAATTAGATGAAAAAACTTGATTTTTCTTGGGCTTTAAAGCTCATACTCTATTCACTTGTACTTACAAACTCCAATTAATTAGGGCTCCTGAACTGATTTCCCCCTCAGAAGATTTGACTGGACATGTCTTCCCACGTATGCTTATTTAGAGCTGTTTGAAATATGGCAGTCACATTCCAAAGTATTTCTCCTTTCTGTGTTTATCATGGTTGTGTATCAAGGAATATGTATATATTATATATATTTTATATATATATATATAAAGAGTTTCTAGTCTTTGTACAAATCCACTTCAGGTTATTTCCTTCTTTTTCTTGCCTTTTGAATTTCCTATCATCAGAGTGGCCAAAACAACAATCAGAATAAAATGACGTGTGCTCTGAAAAAGGCATCATTATTTCTCCTTGAAGCTTGGTGTCAGGGCCATAGATCATAAGAGAGAAGCTTGACAAGGCTCAGTTATTACTATCACAAGATTAATTACAAAACTGCATGGTTTGCTATGGAGTACATAATGCCTGCCATGTTATCCTGTGTGCAGCTGTTCTGCTGTGAGTGTGTACTCACCTCCTTGGTTTATGGACTAGGAAAAGATGTGGGGGGTTGTTTTGCTTTGACTTAATTTTATTCATTTTCTTTTTTAAATTATATAGTGGTGCTCAGTGTTTGTCTTCTAAGGCTTTACTGTCCTCACTGTAGTTGATGAGTATTGTGATGGCACTAGGAAAAATCCAAAACCATCAAGATAAAGCATATGTTACTTGTTATTCTAATTGCAACATATACTGTTTATTATATGACAGTAAAATGTTGCTGCTGAATCACTTGAATTGTGTTATATTGCTTGAGAAAATAATGGTTAACTACAATATAGATTTGCTGGCAGAAGGAAAGAAAATGTATAATCTATCACTATAGTATTTTTTTGTCAATGTATTTCTGTATTATAAATCTCCTCTACCATTTTCTTGAGGAACTTTACTAATTTAGTTGAGAAGCTGCAGGTTTTCAATGAGAGCAAGCTGGTCTTCTGTCTGTTCAGTCACATGGCAAATGCTGTTGCCAAAGACTGACATTGATACACAGAACTTGGAGACTATAATCTGGTATCAATCTTGAAAGACACTATAGAAATTTGTAGAGGCTTTGATGGATGTGTATCTAGTCAAAACTAATTTTCTGTAGCCAAATGATGTATTTTCCCTCCCCTCTGATTAAATGTCAAGCTTGTCCAACAAATCAATAAGTTCAAAAATGTGATAGGAAAAAATAGTTTGGGTCCATTCTGTCTCAGCTGGCTGCATCTTCAGATGGAAACATTTTCTTTATATTTGTGAGTTTGCATGAAGAAAGAGCCCTATACTGATTCTCCTTAAACAGATCACTTGTTGGGCAAGTTGATTTGGAGTTTGTTAACAACTCTCTTAGCAGAGCACTTGTCTAAAAACACATTCAGTTGTTTGTGGCACTGTGCTGTAGTAACTTCTACATTTAAATGAAAAGTTTTACTCAAAAAAGGAATACTTATGTTATTATCATCATGTATCACAGTGTTAGAAAAAGTAAGGAAGAAACATTAACATAAGCAAAGCAAATTCTTTAATAAAACTTCAAATGTGAGAGATGTCATGGATCCAAATGTATGTTAGGAATTTCCTAATTTAATGTTTAATGATAATTTGTTACTGTGTATTGCCCAAATAATTTCTTCAGTCTAAGTAACTTTAGTAGTTAAAGAAGGGAATATGTTTGTTTTTCACTGTCAGGGGTATCCAGACTCTCGGACTGGGTGCTGTGTAGGCATGGAATAACAATATTGTTCTTAACACAGACCAAGAAGGTGTATAGAGAGAATCCCAGGTGAAATACACTTATAGGCTCTTGTTGACCACTTATAGGATGTAAATTCAGACCTAATCTCAGTGTGGCTGCCAAGATGTCAAGGTAAGAAGAATATAGGAAACAGGCATAAATAAGAGAAGGGAGGAGGAATGAAATCTTCATCAGCGTGTCTGGAACATGATCCGTCTGCCTTAATTTGTCAGGGCACATAAAAGTCAGGCTATGTTTAGAGCTTAGATAAGCCTGTGTAAGAGCAGGGTGATAGATTAAGTTTACTGTATTTGTATTGATGCAGCTTTGTATGAATGAAGAAGGAAGAGGGGTGCATTAAAACAATGTTTCTTGGGCAGTGGCTTTATGCTAATGATGAGATTCCCACCCACAGGTTCAATGAATCACCTCACTTCCACAACTTGAGCGTGGGAGGCTGGGTGATGTTTAGCTCCTTTGTGCTGCCCCTCTCATGGTGTTTCTGAACACCTTAGAGCTTTTAGAAATTTCAGTATGAAGACTTTTTGTTAATGAAAGCAAAAAGGATTTTGTAAATATTTTTCTTTCATGTGCTTATATTATTTTGACTCTTTTGTGGGTTCTGTAATGCATATATTAACTAATAATTATTTTTAAAAATTAATTGCTTTGGACTACTTTTTCTTTTTTTTCTGGCACTTGGTTCTTTGAAATGTAATGGAAATCTGCAAGGCTTGCAGCCTGGCAGAAATTTATCTCTTGCAGTTTTTCTGTGCCAGCCACAAAGATATGTAAGTTTTTAAATAGCTTCCTTTTTGTTTTCTGAAGTTAGCCAGCTGAGGGAAGTGTTTTACACAGACTTCCTTCTTAGCTGAGTATAAGTATCTCACATGTTTTGTCTCATTCTGCTGCTCTCTGTTAGCATTCATATATCTGATACCATTCTAACCTGGCACAGTGATCACCTCATCAGAATGAAAACAGTTCAGGAAAACAAGATTTGGGAATATGTGAATGAAGCAGCTTGTGTAAAAGCACAGAAGGAAATAAAAGGTTCTCTTGTTTGTTGTGATTCAGTTTCTGAGATAAGTACTTTTCTAAAATTATGATTTGCACCTGAAACCAGGCCCATAATTTCTTTCATGGTAAAGTAACCTAAGCTGGTGAGGAAAGGATTTTAGAACAAGTCTCACTCAAAAAAACTTTAATTGCTTTTAAAGTTTCTTCAAGAAAAGCTTTTAAGGACTGATTCTGATTTAGCATAATCAGTGAGTGTCTTGAAGTACCATACATTCTATAGGTATCATTAAAGGAATGGATTTAATTTATTGAGGTTCATTGTTTTATAGGCTTGATAGCTCTTTACCAGCAGCATTATATTGTACCCACTCTTGGCTGCTTGAATAAAAATCACAATTAAAAAGAGCTGTGTGATTGGATAATATATGGAGATGCTTTACAGTCCTGTGTGCTGCAGAGTTTTCTGTTGAGCAAGCTTGGTGTAAGAAATGAGAAGAAAAGTGTTCTGTGTAAATAAAACACACAGTTGTACTGAGACTGGGACATACCAGTGTTGCTCTTTTTGCTGTCTCTGAGTAGTGTTTAACACTGAAATGCAGTAAGGTTCCATTTGCAGTTTGAAAGAGCTGCTTGGATGAGACTTTAGTTTGAGGTTGTAAATATTTCTCTTCTCTGTACACGTGTGCAGTCCTGGGATGTGTTTTTCCGAAGTGCTAATGCTGGCCAAGCAGCCCATCTGCCAGCTCAGCAGGAGGGAAAGGGATCATTTCTGCAGAGCCATGGCCTGGCCCCGAGACCAGGGACGGCTGAAAAGGCTGTTGAAGACCACCTCGCTGTGCAGTCCTTGATAAGGGCATACCAAGTAAGTGCCTGCTGGGGGAAGTCTCTTCTATGCAAACAACCTGCTTCCCTTTTATTTTCTCACTTGTATTCTCGTCTTAACTATTGTCTTGCTTCTGATCCAAAAGGCCTTGAACTAGACAGCTTTTCTTTCCAGCACAGTGTCTAAACATGGAAGTGCTGGATTCAGACTGGGGTGATCCTCTGGGTTGCAAACTCATAATTCAGATTACCTACAGACCAGATTTTGGTCATTGGACTTAGCCTTGAAGGACTTTATGGAGACAGTGGTTTGTGAAAGTCTGTCTTCACCTCTGGGAAGTTTGTACTGCAGTTCTAAATGTTACTGCCATTCTTTTGGAAAGGATGGAATGTACTTGCCCTCTCATACATCTAAGGTGAATCTTAAGATTCCTGATTTGAGCAGGATTCTAGGTAAAAAGAGAGAGAAGAAATAATGAATTAACCAGAAACTGAATTTTGGGAGGCTGACAGTACTGAGTTTGGGTTAACTTTGATGGAGTCTTTTAGAGAGCTGTTCATCAAAATTGATTTTGTTTCACACTCTGATTTTTAACCCTTTTATTAAATTAAGAAATTAAGTATAATTTATTTTTCTCTAGAAGAAGAAGGAATTTGGAAATAGGACAGTGGGTTTTGTTAGATGTTTTCCAAATGAAAAATAAGTTTAAATATTTTTGTTTAGACTTGCATTTAGTATCTTAGTTTCAATAAAAGGCTTACAAATGATGTAAGAAACCCCCAAAAAATAACCAACCCATAAAACTAGATCTGTGTTTGACAAAATATTCCACAAGTACTCTTTAAATTAGTAACTTCCCAAGAAGTTTCCTACAGTTTGATTAGAGCAGATCTATTCCTCCCTGCCTTAAGTAGTTTAAATCCTGTTTGGTGTCATGAGAGGAATAGAAGAGGAGCTTCTTAAAAGACCTTTTTTTTGTACACATCACATTGCTACCATTGAGTTGGAGGGTTGTTGTAAAAGAGTAGAAATGGTTATGAATATAAAGAATATGTGAAATTTGCTTAGAAATAGATATGCAGAAAATAACCAATTTTACAGTAAAAATTTAGTGAAATATTAGAGAAAATTGGAGAATGTTAAGCAGCTTTGGCACAATTTACTTGAAAATAGTTCAGGGATTGCCATTTTGCTCCCTGTATTTGTCAAGTGATGGAATAGAAATGTCTGTAGAAATGGCAGGCACCCATGTTTCTGCAACAAACAGTCACAGAGGATTGCCTAAGGCAACTGCCTGCTTTTTAGAAGGTATTTAGTACCCTCTAAATTCAGTGTTGAAGGGGTATGATAATTTGTGACCTTCCTTTGCCTGATAATGAAATGAAATGGAGATGGATACAGAATTTTCATTTCTCAAACCTGTCAGTGTTTTATGGTTTTGTGGTAAACTGCTTTGTAGTCTGTTGAGTTGGACTTTGAGAAGGCAGTTAATCTATTGCTTGTTCTAAGAGAGAGCACTGGGGACACTGAAAGAAGGATTTTCAGTGGGATGTGTGCGCTTAACAAAAGTGAGGCCAGAGAAATCAAGGTCTAGTTTCTGCTAGTCTGTACTTGCATTTCGTCATATGGCAATCGATGAAAACTTTCTTTGTATGTATTTTTACAAGGCTGATCTCTGATTTTTGCAGATGTTGCTATTTTCTGTATTCAGTGAAAGTAGCAGGACTTACTACAAAATGCCTTGATATTGTGAATAATACTGTCTTTTAGTTAAAGACCAAACTGTTCCTGGAATAATATGGCACAGCATTTACTGCTCTGCCTTTCTGGGTTTTGCCGTTCCTGCTGAATCTTCCTATTAATGCTGAAGGGCAGGTGTAACTTAGGGAGGTGAAGTCTTTCCTGTTGATGATGTTTGAGACAGAATTGTTTGCTTTGTTCCAGTCAGATAAACTTAGTGCTGCTGTAAACAGTCAGATGGCACGGATGTTGCTATGGGCATCATTTGGCCTGTCAGAATTTCATTACTGGTGATTCATGAGATGCAAAAAAACCACAGAAGTCAGGCTGAGTTTACAGGGCTGATAGTTCCAAAAAGGATGCAGTTATTTCTGGTTTCTTATGACTGGAAACCATTTTGTTATAAACTTTCCTGCAAATATACAATAATTGAACAGTGTTTTTACAGGTCCCTTCTTGATGAACCACACTGTAATCATCTTTTGTTACTGTGTGATGCACTTCACTGCTAATGTTGCACTCTATAATTTTGGGTTTTTTTCAGAGATAATTAGGTTACTAGTAGTGTGAATGAAATTCTACCCAAGGGATGCAAATTTGTTGTTAAAAAGAAAAATTATAAGGAGGAATTATTAATATATTCATCTATACAAAGCTTTAATGAGTTAATTTGGTATATGAGAGTCACACATATGAGGCATATTAAAAATAGTTTTGTATTTGTGATTCTCTGGGATCAATTAGTTATTTCTTCTGTGGCAATGTTATATGATAATTCACTAGTTTATAGCAACTTGTGGCATGCATTAACACCAGTCACACTGATTATTGAAAGCTGGCTAACTTCCTCACTCAATTTGTGTTCTTTAGTGCCTTGAATATCAATTCTATCAGATCAAATTTCTGAAATTTCATGAATGAAAATAGGTGCTGTCAGATGCTGTCTGGTTTGTAGCAGAGTTCTGGAAGAATGATCCCTTCACTTCCAATATAAACTACTTCAGCACCAATCTGCTTTAAGTCAGCAATTCTGTATTTTAATATACTGAAGGTGCAGAAAGGAGAATTCAGGCAAAAATACAAAATGACTTAATTGGCAAATGAAAAGATCTATTAGGCTTATCAGGCTTATCATAGTTACTTAATTTTACCCAAGGACTGAGAGTGTAGTCTCTAAAAACCTTCTTTACTAAAACTCCAGTGTAATCCCAGTTAAACTGTGTGTCAAACATGATGAAGATTGTGTTGTAATGTGTAATTTTTGATAGAGATGTATATGTAATCAATGATATAATGCTTATTTTTTGTTCTTATGGGAAAACTTGGGAATATGTAACCCTGTCATCACATTAGTGGTGTTTGCTTGTTCAGCTTAATGGCTGATATTATGGAGAGATATCCCTGACTTTTTCCCTTTGTCTGACTTTTAGTGTGACTTCATTTTGCTCTACTTTCCTCCTTTTCAGATTCGTGGCCATCATGTGGCTCAGCTAGATCCCCTTGGAATTCTGGATGCAGACTTGGATTCGTTTATTCCATCTGACCTCATTACCACAATTGATAAACTTGGTGTGTAAGCTGTGTGCCTTCTTATTTGAAATGCTCATTTGTATCGCTGGACTGAAGTGATTTAATAAGACATTGCACAGATTCATCAAAAGGCTTGGATTGGAAGAGACCTTAAAGATCACCTAGTTACAACTCCCCTCTAGGGGCAGGGATGCCACATTTAGGGATGCTTCTGCCTTTTCTGCTTTCTGTTATCATGACATAGAGCCTTTGAGCATCTGTAAGGAGGCTAAAATTTCAGGATGAAGGAGTTTCTACTCTGAGATCACAGGTGAAGTTCCTGTGAATTTATCTTCTGATGAATGATTGCTATAAACCCCCTACATATTTTATTTTTGAACCACACCAGAAATGAATACTAATCAATGCATTCTGATAATCTTAATTACTCTTATAGCATTACAATTCAGACTTGTTTCAACTGGGGACATCTGAAGGGTAGTTAATAGGGAAACCAAGCAATAAACAAGCCACTGGACAGAGAACTTAGGGTAAATTTCATACCAAATTTGGAATCTAATGTCTGATACTTCCTTACTTATGTCTTGAAGAAGTCTCTTTGAAGTTAACAGAAGAAAATGTGGAAAGCATAGAATTCTTTACCTGTGGATATAATTCAAGGGTGATTATATCTTCTATTATAAACTTCAGTTTACTGCTAAAAGAGTGTAGTGCACTGGGGTCTGCTTTTGCAAAGGTTGTTCTCATTGTTAGGAGGACTTGTGTCTGAGAAATTGGCACTGATCAATTTCTTTGCCTCTCTCTACTTGAATAAAAAAACACCTGATTGATTTTTCTCTGCTCTTCATTCTACCTGGTTAGTTTAAAATGTGGTTTTCTACTTGATGAAGACACTGAATCAATTTTTCTTTGATATGTAGGGAAGCTTTTTCGATCAGACAGAAAACATAGTGCAGGAAGTAAATAAAACACCCTCTGCCTAATTTTACTATAAGCATATCTACTCTTTGCTGCTCTGTTTTCTATTTCTGGTGTAGGGAAAGAAACAGTTCTGATCATATAAAGGAAGTGGATGCCTAAGACTAGAGGGGTGCTTACATAAATTGGGCCTTCTCTCTGAAGTTTGTCAGCTTTAATCAAATAAAAGTACCAACTAGAAAACACATGAGACATTTACTGAGCAAATTAATTAATTTAGAGCTTGGGTGACTACTAGCATGTCAGTACACATTTCTCTACACTCTACAGATAATTTAGTACAGGGTGGTGTGACTGATCAGAAGGCATCCACTGAAATGCTCATGGCCAAAGGAAAAATATGCCAGACCTCTGAATGAGATGGGAGGATGTGTTTGAGAGTGTAACTGAGGAGATTTCAGTTTGTGAGGGGAAACAAAATTTCAAACCCAGTCTTGGCAGAGCTAAAATAGAGGAAGTTCTCAAATCCTATCCTTGAATGTTCCAGGCAGGAAACATATGAAAAGTCTTTGGCAGGACAGAAATTATTTTAGTATTTGATTTTTCTCTGCATTTTCTTTGTCCCATGTTCTGCTTTCTTTTTTGAGAAACCTTGTGGCAGGAAATTTCTTCTGAGAGTTGCTTCAAAAAATGCAGGTAGAGATGTATCTACTGCATGAGTCACAGTATAGAATTGCTTTCAGCATTTCAGTAAGAGTGTATCTCTTTAAACAGGAGGTGATGCTTCAGTAAATATGTGGTGCTGTGGTACAAAGCACAGATGTTCTGTGTGTGCCCAAATCACTCCTGTATGTGTTGTGGTTTATGCATGAGAGGACATCAAGAGCCTTTGAAGTCTGAGGGAAAGTCAACAAAAGTGAAGAAATAAATGCACTGCTTTGTTTAAAATGACATTAAAGGCCCTGTCATCCCCGGTGTCACTCTCCCCTCCTGCTGGGAAAAAGCCTGTTACAATACCAAAAAGGAGAAGTAATGGTACCTATGCTTTTTTTGGCCATGCCAGGTCTGAAATTTTTAATATGTTATTGAAATTTTTATTAAAACCAAAATTTAAATTTTAAAGTGTATTATTTTTAAAGTGAAAAAGTGTTATTTACTGACAGTGCTGTATAGTAAAAGTGGTTGCAATGCAGTCCTGTGGCCTGTTTCCAAATCTTTCATGGTGTTATTATTTCATCTTTAATTTGCTGCTTTGCTTTTATCTTCAGAAAAGTAACTTAACATTTAAGCAGTTTATTGATTTAAGAGTTATGTGCATGCTGTCTTTCCAGTGTTAAGTGATTGTCTACAGCTTCTCTGGAACCAAGATAAAAGAGTTCAAAATTAAAAATGGAGAAGTTATTTTTAATTTTTCTAATATTTCTACATGTGTAGGAACATATGTAGTGTTAATGTTTATATACGGTTCTATAACTGTGGTGTATTATAAGTGTTGTACCTTTGCTTCTTACAATTGTAAGAAACTGTTTTTCCTTCCTTCATTTAACAGGTCTAAGTTAAACTTGAATCACACCAGGCCTTTAACTTGCATTGATACCGGTCTTTCAGTCTTGTCTACTGTGTATTTTGGCTTTTGAAACTGCATAGTAGTTAGGTTAAATATTTTCTTAAATAATATTCTCAGCCAGTTTAGATGTGTCCAAATCAAGATGGGTCAGTGTGGTTAAATAAGTTTTAGATGGTAGGGGTGTGGAAGTCTGTGCATTTTATAAGGGGTCACTGCCTGAGAACTAGAGCTGTACAGGTCATTAGAGAGCTATTTCAAACTAATTTCCCTAAAAAGAGAAGGAGGGTGAATAGAAATACCTTGAAAGTTCTCCAGAGTGCTTGTACAGCATTTTATTGAACTGTTGGGCATTCTCTTGGTCTGTCTATCAATGTAAAATGCTTCCAACCAACTGGTTCTGTTGGTGAGGAGAGATTTTTTTTGTTTGCTGCTTATGATAGTCAGTTATTTTATTAACAGTGGGCTGTAGGAAGTGGTGTGGAAAATTGATTACATGTGTCTTAATATGGTAAAATATAAAAAAAGGCTACAATGATTCTAATTTTAGTTGTTTCATTTGAGCATTTAAGAAAGAATTAAGTAATGACTATTTAATTGAAACACTTTTTAAAATCCAGACTAAAGTCCATTTTACTAATGGATACCTTCAGAATATTCATGCTTTCAATTTTTAATCTTCTTTCTTAATACTGCTTTATTAAATATGATTGCCATGGCTTGAAAAGCAATGCTGTTTTCCCTTTTGTCATCTGTTCTGCTTTGCAAATCAATAACATTCTTGTTGTAGGGTTTTATGGTTTGCATGAGTCAGATTTGGACAAAGTCTTTCAGCTGCCAACAACCACCTTCATAGGAGGAAATGAGAACAGCCTATCTTTGCGAGAGATCATCAAACGCCTGGAGGTCAGTGGGACATGATTCATTTGGGATTGGTTTCATTCAAACCAAAGTGAACTTCTTCCAGATGTCAGTCACAAAACCCCCTTATCATTTGCCAGTTATTAATAGAGTTATTATTAATATTATAATTAATGTAAAAGATTCCAACATTAAAAATAACCTTTGTACTATTTCTAGAGGTTGCAGCACCACTGGTGCAATTAGCTGGATATTGGAAATACATAGATTGGGGATGAGTATAAGAGGTGAATATGGTAGAATATTAATGCCAGCCCTTGTTCTGGAAAGACCTGATATTTTTTAAAAGGAGAAGAGCCTTTAGAAATTGTCTTTTAAGTGTTGTAACACAGATAAAACACCTATGCATTCGGGGGTTGCTTTCAGATCCCCCACTCTAGTAACACCTTTACTTGAGGAAAAATATGAAGGCTGGGTACCAAATTCATGAAAGCTTAGCTGTAGCTTGTAGACTGTGATGGTCCTTGTTTTCCATCCCCAGTCTTTTTTCTAGAGTTTCATTATCTGACAGGTGATGTGGTTTATGCCACAGGAAGTCATGAAAGCTAAAATAGTTAAAAAAAAAACAATTTGAAGGAATAAATATAATTAGAGGCAAACTCCAAATAGCAAGGCAGCAAATAGGAATGGTAATGTATTTGTAGACTGCTGAGTGAGTCATTGTTGGATATTCCCAGTTGCTTGACTTTTATGTTGGCTTAGCTGAGGCATGGTAAATTGTTAAACCACATTATCTTTGTTGTGCATTTGAGCTCTGTATTTGGTTGGGGTTTTTTTTGTTTGTTTGTTTGTTTTTGCACTTCTACCTTATCTGTGTAGCAATAATCCTTAAAATTGTAATCTGCAAATAAAAGGACAAAATCAATTGCAAAATATAAAAGCCTTAAGTAACTGATTTGTGTTAAGGAGAAATAACCTTCTTTCCTCTTGTCTCTAGAGCTTTCGATATTTTTTTTTTTAATAGAAAAAAAACAACTCCTTCAACAGTCAACTCCTTAAAGGCAGTAGAGAATACACACTATGTTGAGAGTAATTTTGTCTCAAACTCACAGTAGGTCTTACTTCTGTTGACTTGTAAATATTTTGGAAATAATTTTTTTCGAATGAAATACTCTTTTTAAAGTAAGAAAAATAAAATTTAGAAAATGAACAAGGAGATAAAATTTCTGCTGTGTCTTTGCATTTCTCCCTGTTCTTTCTCTGCTCTCAGCTGCTTGGATTTTTTTTCACATTTCCAGGTTTCTGAAACTTGACAGTTATCAGATGATTTACATTAGACTTCATAGCTGTCTTCTCACTGTCTTTATTTCTTGGTTTAAGGTTACATTTACAAAAGTTGTGATAAAGTACACAGATTTTGATAAATTACTTGACATCTTTGCTGATGCATCTAAAGTAGAGTGTACTATGCCTGTAAGAAAAGCACTAAGTTAGGTGAAATGTGCCAGTCAGTGTAATGCAGGTTTGATTGCCTACTTGGAGTGTAGCACGAGATGAGAATCTTCCAGTTAAAAAATTTTGAATTGTTACTTTGTAGAGAAAGCTTTGTGACACAAAACTAGATTCAGTAAAACAATTTATTCATTTGTAGAATTAGTTTGGGGGAGATATTGTGGAAGAGGAAGACATGGTAGCTTTCATGAGAGTAGCAGAAGATATAATTAAGAGGATATTTATTTGTGAAACTAATATATGAGGCCCACTAGCTCCTAGAGCTTCTCTGTTGGTGTTTTCTCTTGCTAGCATACCTACTGCCAACACATTGGCCTGGAGTTCATGTTCATCAACGACGTGGAGCAGTGCCAGTGGATCCGTCAGAAGTTTGAGACGCCGGGTGTGATGAAGTTCACGAACGAGGATAAAAGGACTTTGCTGGCAAGGCTGGTGCGCTCCATGAGGTACGCTGGGCTGGGCTGGGCTGGGACACTGCTCTGGGCCTGCTGCCTGGGAGCTGGGGGATCTGAAGCTGCTGATGTTGAGAGGAACAGCCTCACTGAAATCTAGAGTACAGGTGGGTGTAGGTAACCTGCCTGCCTTATCAAAGGAAAGTGTGTGCTGTGAGGAATCTCTCAGGGTCTGTGTTGTGACTTAGTGTTCCGTTCTCCCAAAAGGCATTTAGTGGCATGCCTGGCAATGTTTTCGTTGGCTTGAGGAGGCAAACTAGGAAAAGTTGTTTTAACACAAATGTATATTACTAGTGTGTTGAAGATTTGTAGCCTGTTGCAGAAAATAAGTGTCAGAACAATGTTGGTGTGTGATTTTAAGTCCTTTCTTCCCTTTTCATTTTGAGAAGTGCCAAGATGCGTTGTGCTGTTGCATGACCTGGCAGCAGCAGTTTTAGTATCTACAGTAAAAGAAAGCCCCAATGGGAGCAGTCAATAAGCTATTTCCAAATGTGCTATCTGTGTGGAAATACTTTGATCCCAGAGATGGAATTATCCTCTTACCCCTGGAACAAGGCTTCTCAGGCACAAGATTTATTTCAGTCCCTACAATCTGAAACAGTCTATATGTCCTTTGTTAAACACAAGAGTCTGAGATTTGTACAGGCACACTTTTTGGTTAAGATTCTATGTCCAAAGATCTAAAAATGAAGTGCTTGTTGGAAGTGTTGAAAGATACTTTTACCAAGTGTTTTGTTTGCCAGTGTTATAATGTCTCATTAAAAGTTTCATTTAAACAGAAATAAAAATGACACTTACTGGTCAAGTGAATATGACACTTGAGTAAGTTTGTTTAACAGGTGCTCAGTATGAACCATCTCAATTTATCCTAAGATAAGAATTTGTGCTTTTATTCCTGCCTAAGCCGTGGAAAGATCTGGGATTTCTAGTGGCATGAAGGAGCCTGATGTTCATCTTCTGCCAAATTAATTGTCTGCTAAACGGGGAAGAAAAAAGTTTTACAAAAATTACTATCCAGCTATCTTTAGAGTGCTTTTTTATATTATTGTTTGAAAATGACTTAGGAAAAAAAGTCTGATTTTGTGGAAAACTGGTTATCCTCTTAAGATTTGTGGCTTTGTAAAGCATATTTTCATTGTTTTGCTCAAGACTGTTTATAAAACTGTTCATTTCAAGAACTACAGAGTTCAGGTACTTGAAACTAAATTTTTAAGTTGGATTTCTCATCCCTTATGATTTTCACTGATAGGTTGTTGAACAAAGGGTCATTTTAAACACCTCCTTATGTAAAATACTCATTGTATATTTCTGAGCTACTTTGTAATGCATTAGTAAACATGTTAGACCCTGATGTGGAACCTGATCTGGGCAGGGTCAAGCATTTCCAGATTAATTCCTCCTGAGAACAGCCAGTTTTCACCAGATGTTTTCCTCACTGGGCACTGAATGCCTGCAGTGACAGAGGCTGAGGCTCTGTGACCCCCAGTGGCATGTGGGGACTGGCAAGGTATGACTGTGAAATGCTGTAGCTCTGCACACTTAGTGGCACTTTGCCTCAAGTAATGAACTTGCTGCTTGTCCAGTACTGGCTGAACTTGCTGCTGCAAAGAGGAAGAAATCAGTGTGTGCACTGCTTTCCTTTGCCCTGTGGGAACCTGCTGTTCACATGGCACATTGCTTTCCCTTTATACAGAAACTGGCATAGCGCCACAGACTTCCCCGAGGAATTCTGGCAGAATGGCTCGGTTGAGGGTCTGGTTTGTTGCTTGATGGCTAGATTGATTGTAAGGTACTGATGGTTGAGCTAGGCGAAATTTTGGCAACAATTCATATCACTGCCTTTAGGACTTCAGTCTAAAGAGTTAAATGTCAGGATTCTAGGTGAGGAATAAGCCGAGTGTTAATGGATTACGGCAGTGTTATGAGGTGAGGTACTGCGCAGATGATGTAACCAATACAGTTACTTTCATGAAGATGTATTTTCTTTTCCTTTCCTATCTCTAAGCTTTACAATGTATAATCCTTTCAGTGTTTGTTAAAAGGTATTTTTTAACCACTCACATTGCCTCTGGCCCAAATGCATTAAAGAATGAAAGAGCTTAGAGCTGTCAGGGATTGACATCATTCTGCTGCTGAAGCTGAGGCAGTGTCCTGCTTCACGGCCCATTCCTAAGTGTTACATCACTCAGTCTGAGAAGCGTTGCTATTGAATGAGACCTATGGAATAGGTGCATTTTCTACTCTAGTTTTGTTACAGGTATTATAAAATAGAGGTTCTCTGTTATATTTTCTTCAATTCATAGAAAAGACTTCTTTGCTGTCACTCTGCCTTACCAATGGTCAGATTTGTGTACATGAGAACAGAGTTTAACTTGGGAAGTTAATTTTGTCTGAGGTGGAGACCCTTAATTGCTTTAAAGTCCTAGTCAATAGTTTTCAGATGGGGGAGAAAGAAGACTGAATTCTCTCCTGTTTCCCTCCCCATGTGTGACTGAATTCCAGAGGTGTATAACTTGTATTCACAGATGTTTTAAAACAATTTAATGTAACTTTATTTCCTGTAAGATGGTAAACTATTGGTATTTGCTACATTACCTTAGTACAAATAATTTCTCTTGTTTTTTTGGTTTCTTTTTGGCAAAGATTTGAAGATTTCCTTGCTCGCAAGTGGTCTTCCGAAAAGAGATTTGGTTTGGAAGGATGTGAAGTAATGATTCCCGCACTTAAGACCATCATTGATAAATCCAGTGAAATGGGAATTGAATATGTTATAATGGGAATGCCTCATAGGTAATGTCAATGGAAACACCCCAACAAATGGGCTTACTGTGTCAGGACAAGTTTTGGGTTCTAGAAATTTATTTTAAAAGTTGACATTAGAGAAGCTGAGGTAGGAAGAGTCAGTCATAAAAAGTAATGGGAACACAGAACTGTAGCAAATGCCTGTCAGTAAGAGCATACAGGCTACAAAAGTAAATGACAGAGAAACTCTCAGTGTACTTTGAAGCTGCAAGCAAATGTGGCAGCAGCCATGGTATCTCTGCCATTGCATAGAGTCTCTAGAACTGGGAAGGCTTGGTGAGGTAGTTTTAAACATACTTTTGCAGTCTGCTTTAACTAATTTATAATGTGATTATTTGAAGACTGCTAGATAGCTACAAAATGCACTTGGATAACAGGGTGATATAAAATGCTTGAGGAAATGCATTGGAGGAACTTTGTAATGGGAAGAAGTGTTAAATCAAGGGCTTTGAGTTCAAAAGTTTGAAGAGAACATTTGCAAATTTCTTACAGGGTCATTTACAGATTTTGTAAGTTCTATGCTGTTGACTCTTTTAGTACCATTTTTGAGACATAACTGTGTTTGGAATTTTCGTAGAGGTCGGCTGAATGTATTGGCTAATGTAATCCGAAAAGAACTGGAGCAGATCTTCTGTCAGTTTGATCCCAAACTTGAAGCAGCTGATGAGGTAAGATGCTTTTTCATTACATCTGTATGGAGAGGTCAATATTCAAGATAGTTTCCAGTTGTTTTGGTCATGGTTACTATGAAATCAGCATTATCAGCTGCAATGCCTTCTTTTCTAGTTTAAGGAACATGGTTTGGTGAAATTTTGTAACAAATGTAAGACTTATATTATACTTCTAACATGCAGAAGGTCTTTCAGGAGTGACTGTAGATAAATAAGTTCCATTTGACAGAGCTCATAACTTCTAAGCATCTTTTTTTTTTATATGAATGAACAGAGTATTAATATGCTGTAAGTACTTATCTAACATTTGATGACAACAGTAAGATAATAGAATAGAAACAGTGTTTCAGTTTGAAATGATGGTGTCAAACCCATAGTGCGCACTGATTTCAGGTAACCAGATCCAGTTTTCAGGCTGAAGCAAAATTTTAGGCCTAGTGAATCAGATAGAGCAGGTCTGAATGTCATTCCTGAATTGTGATTATTTCCTTCTTGTTAGGGATCTGGGGATGTAAAATACCACTTGGGAATGTACCATGAGAGGATCAACCGAAAAACAAACAAGAAAATCACTCTGTCCCTGATGGCTAACCCTTCTCACTTGGAAGCAGTTGATCCTGTTGTGCAAGGCAAAACAAAAGCTGAACAGTTTTATCGAGGGGATACAGCAGGGAAAAAGGTAAAGATTGTTTAATATAGTAACTTTTAATGGTAGTTTCTCATGGTGTTTACAATAAAAATAGTTTGCCAGTAGTTTCATATCACAGAATCTTCCACTCTTCCTCTTTCAAAAGGGATATATCACCTGCTGAACTAGGTAAGGTTTCTGACATGAGACCTCAAGGGTAATTTGGAAAGTAGGCTTAAAGCTTTATTTCTTTGGCAAACTGAGAAAAGGCAGCAGAATGCTGAGAAATTTATGGTTTATTATATATTTACTGTTTTATTTTATAAGCACAACAGAAATGTGGAGCCAAGAAATCTTTGTGAGAAACTCAAATTGCAGTTTTCCTTTGTAATATATATGTTGATATGTGTGTACAATTCTCCCTCTTAGGTTATGTCCATATTATTACATGGGGATGCTGCCTTTGCAGGACAAGGAGTGGTTTATGAAACTTTTCATCTTAGTGACCTCCCATCCTACACCACAAATGGCACTATTCATGTTGTGGTCAACAACCAGGTAAACAAGTATAGCCTTTTGAAATCAACTTCTCTGCTGAATATTTGCCCATCTATCAATTTTTATTGTTTCATATTAACTGTATTCCTTGCCCCCTGTGGTTATTAGAATGGTTGAGATGTTTCTGAAAATTATTCTAATATCTAGCAGCTCTTGAGCAGATAATGTTTTATCACCTGCATGTATTCCATTCAATCTGTGATACTTAATTGGATTAGGCTTGCTTTGGTTTTTAAGGGAGCAAAAAGAAGCTAGCTAGCCAAAATGAAAAGTTGGTGCTGTTGCTGTGTGAATAGCTATTAAATGCAAACTTCAAAACAGAGTTAGCAGGAGGTGCCCAAATTATTTTAATGGAAGTTTCTGAAATTTTTAGATTGGCTTTACCACAGACCCCCGTATGGCCCGTTCATCCCCATATCCCACTGATGTTGCTCGTGTGGTCAATGCTCCCATTTTCCACGTGAACGCTGATGACCCTGAAGCAGTGATGTACGTGTGCAGCGTAGCTGCAGAGTGGCGAAACACTTTCAATAAGGATGTGGTGGTTGACTTGGTAAGTCTTGGTTTTCTTTTTTTTTCATTCTGTGCATTATGTACTGCTCTTTATTTTTTGTGGCTTAGAAGGTCCAGTCAAGAAACGTATTTCATTTTAAAGGCCTTTAGTTTCCTCATTTTAAAAAACCAAGCAACAAACAGGCCCACAAGAAGCCATTAACGTTTTTTATACAATAAATCTCTTAAAATCTCTGTAAAATTATGAAATGGAAATATTCCATGTTACATTTTTCCTTATCAACAGAAGCAATCTTTCCCTTTGTAGGTTTGTTACCGTAGGCGAGGTCACAATGAAATGGATGAGCCCATGTTCACCCAGCCTCTGATGTACAAGCAGATCCATAAGCAGGTGCCAGTGCTGAAGAAATATGCTGACAAACTGATTGCAGATGGGACTGTGACACTACAGGAATTTGAGGTACATGCCAGCAGAGTTAGAGGGAATCTAGGGAGTTGTAAGGAGAAAGACCCAACTGTCACTGTATGCTGCCTGCTTGAAAACTTCCTTGCTGTGATAAGTCTTTACCTTGGACACTTTGTGATTCAGTTTGGCTTGGTGTTCTGTCTCTATGGAATATGGCATTCAATCTGTTGCCATTGAGAGGTGTGGCCAGCATGTTCTTTGCTAGACTCTTCCAGGCAGACTAATTTTTTGGAACCTTCTTTTCCAAACTTTAGTGCCTTTTGTAGCCAGGAGTATAAGAGCTGGATGATTTTGATCTTAGAAGTATGACTGTAAATTATATTTGGTATTTCGCTTTCATCTCATTCAAGAGCAATGCTTGCAGCTTCAGCTCTTGGTACACTCCTCTGTAACACCTGTCCAATGAAATTATTTATTTAGAGTAATGTGTGTAAGCATGTTTCTAGAAGGCAGTTTGATCCTAGATAAAATTAATTTTATTTTTTTGTATTATTGTAATGAAAATTTTCTCATGGAGTTAAATAGCTGCTATTGTCATGCTGAACGAGAAGTATCATCTGTAAGATTTGAGGGTGTTATGTTTATCCATTTTAAAACCTTTTTGTTCTACAGGAAGAAATTGCAAAGTATGACAGAATATGTGAAGAAGCATATACTAGATCTAAGGATAATAAAATCCTTCATATCAAGCACTGGCTGGATTCACCTTGGCCTGGTAAGGAGTGAATTTTCACTTATCCTAGTGTTACCCAAATGTGCTTTTATTTTGAGTCCAAAATCTAGGATTTAAATAGATTTTATCAGACAACATTCCTTTAAAATGGACTATGTGACCTTTGATTTACCCCCGTTAATAGTAAATATGGCATTCTGCCAGATCAACTTGAAATAAATGCTTTTGTTAAAAAATGTGCAAAGTAAGCTGTGGCTTTGAAAAATCCATTTTCCGGTTTAGCAGGGAAGTGTTTTTCCTGTACTGTTAACTGTCTGGGCTGTCAGGAAGACGGAGTATGTCTCATGTTATTTATTCATTTGTTTGTTTTTATTTGAGGGCTTGAGGTGCCATTTGCCTTTTATTGGCAGCCTCTGCCCACATAGTAGGACTTCACAGGGAGTGAAAGCAGGAACAAAATAGATCATTGTGTGCCTGTAAGATCAATTTCTCTTATCATACAATCAAAATTATTGTTTCCCAGCAAAAGAGGAAGAGCTAGGCTTAGTCTGCTGCTTAGCATATCACTTGAGTTGTTGAACCAATTATAGGTGATATACATATCTCCTAAACAGTCCTTGAACATGTCACCATCTCTTGTCCTGGCAGGCTTCTTTACTGCGGATGGAGAGCCCAAGAGCATGTCGTGCCCCCCGACGGGTATTTCGGAGGAGCTGCTGACTCACATTGGCAACGTCGCTAGTTCAGTGCCAGTCAAAGACTTCAAAATACACTCAGGTCAGCTGAAGGCTTTGTGTCTCCTCCTGGCTTTGTGTCTTGCTCCATTTCTGTATTTCTGCATAGAAGTTATTCTTGGACCGTTTCTCCAAGAGGAAAATGCCTGTGACTTTTTTTACTTTGACTCTTCCACTCTATGGGTGAGGAGAATGTGACATTTAAGTTCCTGCTGCTTGTTGTCAGCATAGTATTCTTTCAGAATCACACCACTTCTGTTTCATACCTCATTAAAATAGATTTTCCGTTGTGTGAGGTAGAAGTCTCTTTGCAACCTTAAGTTAATAACTCTTTTAATTCTTCAAGTCCTTGCTTTTTTTCTGAAAAAATCTTTTGTTCTGAAAAGATTCAGTCCTCACTTTGGCATCTATTACAGTAAGTATCTGTCTCACTGGGGAGCCCCAACACTGTGTAAGAGTTGTGAGATAGTTTTATTTCCTGGGCAGGTTGAAATCTAGCAACTATTAGGAGCAATAACCTGCTCATTCCATGGAGACCCTTTGTTTAGGAATCCTTTTTCTTTTGTTGACTTGTAGGGTACATACTAAAGATAGGGTATAAAGAGAAGTTTTTCTCTTTAAAATCTCTAAACCGAGAAAGCTAATCCTTTCTGGAGTCATCCATCAAAGAATAAAGTTTGTCTTCTGTAAATATTCTATGTGTTTCTGTTCCTTTGGGAAGTGAAACACTAGTAATGATGGTGGGGCATTCCCAGTTATTAATTAAAGGTTTGTTGAGCAGATACAATTAATGGATAAATTTAACTCTTCTGCACATTTGTGCACTTCGTTGTGACACTGATAAATTAAAAATTGTAGTTGCCCAATAAAATGGATACTAGACATTCTAATTAAAAAGGTAAATTGGTCTCTTGTTAGTGAGTTGATTAACCATTGACACTAGGGAACACTTGCCAGTATATAAGGTAGATTTATGGTTCAAAACAATTATGGTATGCTAAATTCTTTTATGCAGTTTAAAAGGCTGTGAGAGGGAATCTGTGGAGAAACAGAAGGGGAGAGAAACAGAAATTTGAAGTACTTTGTCCTTTCACTAGAATGAAAAAGCTTAATATCATATAGTCTTGCAACAAAACAATTGGAAGATTATTTTTTTACTCAAATGTTTAGTATGCTCTAAAGGGAAAATTTACAAGATTTTTTTACTTAAAATGAGGCAATTTCAATGAGAGTTTTATGTAGAAAGAAAGTGAGGTGTTTTTCTGTAAAATTGTGGAAAGTAAGGAAAGGGAAAAAGGGAAAATAACATGGGAAGGCTTACCAAAAGCATCAGTGCAGCAAAATAAGATTGACAGTGAATACAGGAGACTTGTGTCCTCAAAACTTAAAGCACCTGTGGGCAGCTGTGAAGTTTTGTTCCCTTTGAAAGTGACAGTGTTGTAACTTGTGCTTTGGCTCACAAGGTTATAAAATCTTCACTGAAAAGTCAGCTATTGGTTGCCAGCTGAAAATCCATTGGCAGCTGCTACAGTTTTTCTGTTTATATGATATTCATAGTATTGATCCGTCCATCCTGTTTCACTGTGTAACATCTTCAGAAGTGCAATAAGACAAATGCCAAGAAAAAATGAGGAAAGGAAGAAGACAAAAATTCAGAAACCAAATAATTGTTTTTGGTCTCTTATAAAACAGCACTTGGTATTAGAGATGTGAAAATAAATCTTGAGGAAGAATAAATTCACCATGGGTCTTTTTAATTGTCCTCAGTAGTTTATAACACAGTCAACTGTACTTTCTTCTTCAAAAACAAGGTAGTTACACAACTGCTTGCTGGGAAGCAAGTTGTTTTATTTTGCCAGCAGTTCAGTTCTAGAAAAACAGTTTGTAGACCTGATTTGGTATCTCTGGTTCGTTTAGGCAATGAGGAAGGAGAATGGTGAATGCTGTGTGAACAGAGAATTTCTCTGAAGTAGATCCATTCCTTTCTGACCTTTATTCCGATGTAGGACTCTCTCGGATTTTGAAAGCCCGCTCGGAAATGACCAAGAACAGGCTTGTTGACTGGGCCTTAGCAGAGTACATGGCTTTTGGCTCTGTGCTCAAAGAAGGGATCCATGTCCGACTGAGTGGGCAGGATGTGGAGAGAGGTACTTTCAGGTCAGTACTGAGATAACTGTTAGATGTTGTTAAAACTGTTGAAGTCCCACACTTAAAGAAATAACTTGGCATTTGTTTAAAAATATGGTCTTTTGCAGGGAGGAGGAAGTTGGGGCTCTTTCTTCAGCATTAATCTGAATATTATAGATTGTTGCAGCCAATAATAATCAAATTTCCTGTCTATCTGTAAGCAGCATTTTAAAGTATGATATTTAAGCCAGAACAAACATTTTTAGACACTTTCTACCTTCTCTTGCTGAAAAGCAGAAATGGTATCTTTCCCCTGCTTTCTAACAAAAAATACAGTTGCATTCCATCTAATTGCTGGGAAATAAGAGGGGATACTTGCTGCAGCAGATCCTGAGTCTCTTAAATTCCAGTGGTGCCTGCTTGGAACTTCTGTACCCTGTGAACAAACGTGTAGCCAGTTGATTTTTAAAGTGAAATACGGTTCTTTGTACTAAGACTTTTAATGTCTGTGGGGCATGTATGAAGGCAGGATCTCATCACTTGGTAAAATATGTACAGTTTGCTGCCTTACCTGATTCTTTGTAGAGTAAAATGTTAATGATGTATTTAATTGAAACCTTTGATGTAATGCCAATTCCTGGGGTGAATGCTGCACTGTGCTTCATTGTGAATGCTTGCAGAAGAGAGATACAAATCTTGGTGCCTGTCTTCTCTGGTATGGCGTTGGCTAGAATTTGGAAAGAACTGAATATACTGTGTTGCCATAGTAAAACAACATGATGGGGTGCTTTCACTATTTTGGAGCTTCTAAAGTGATGTCTAGAAAATAGTTCTTTCTTTTGATATTCCATGTGGTAGCTTCTTTTCTTCCTGTTTCAGTCCTCAACACTATCAATAGACAGAAGCTAGATAAAGCTGCTGATAGAAGCACCAGACCCCCTCTCCTCTTGGAGACAAACTCTTTAGGACAGAGGGAAAGGGGGATAGCCTTGATTCTTATCTGGTTTGATGTTAGGAAATTGCAGAAGTGCAAATTGTATGTCTGTATATTTGACTAGCCATCTCTGCTCATCTTAATCACCTTTTGCTAGGGAAAAACAAAACTTTGTACTCAAGAAGATGAACAGCTAGGTCTTCTGTTGTTGGCTTAATGACAAAATCAAAATTACAGTGGCAAAAATGATTTCTGCGAAACAGCTGCCTGGTGTGTCAATTTCCCCCTTTCTCTCTACTTCCATTCCTGTGCTGCTCTTCGAAGGTTCAGTCTTTTTCTGGATTTACCTTGTTGAGTTCTAGATAAATTTCAGAGCTCTTTTGCTAGCATTCATTATAGCAAAGGGAAGTGCAAAAAAGGTCAGACTTCAGTGTTGGCAGCTCTACAACACACAGTATTGTTACCAGTACAATAACTGGCCTTATGTTAGTGATTGTAAAGCTGGGCATATTGCTGTGATTCACTCAGTCTGCTCAGAGAGTTAATGGATTGCAGTAATTACTTCAGTCATCTCTGTTTTGGTAGTATTCCTTGGTGCCCTATTCTAATGCTGATTAATGGTGTTCTAGAGAACTGTAAATGGTGCATGTGAGTGGAAATAGCAGGAAAGAGGATACAACTCCTTCAAGTTTCAGTGCTGAAGATGACATTTTTTTCCATTAAAGACAAACAACAAGTATTTCAAGGAAAATATTAAAATTTGTGAGGAAGGCAGAAGGGCATGTTTTTAATAATAATTTTGTTCCTCTGAATTTCTTTAATAGTTCTATTTTATAGCAACAACTTCCTCATCCTTTTCTCTTTCTCCCCAGTTCTACTAGCGATGAGGTATTTTCAGTTTCTATGAGTGCTTGAGAAGCCTAGATAGTCAGTAAAAGTCCTTACAGTGCAGCAATTGTATTTAGACATGTGATTGTATTTCCCATGGTTTCAACCAGACCAGGGTGTTGTGTGTAGCAGAGATAACCATGGTGCTTGCTTGCTTTCCAGAACACAATTTTGATGCTTTAGCTTTAAAAATAGCTCTGTTAAAGCCCAAATTGATTCTTGGCTAATAAATCTCTTTCAACAACTCTTTGCAGCCATCGTCACCATGTACTTCATGATCAAGAAGTTGACAAGAGAATTTGTGTTCCCATGAATCACCTGTGGGAGCAGCAGGCCCCCTACACGGTGTGCAACAGCTCTCTCTCCGAGTACGGGGTCTTAGGTACGTCTCCATCTGCCTAGGGGTTGCTAGGGCTGCCAGATGGGAAGCAGAGCTCAACAAGGAAAAGAATGTGGGGAAAAAAAAGCTGTGAAATGGTCATACATGAAACAGGCATCAAAGCTCTTCCTCTCAGGTTCTGGCATCCCTTAAACAAGCCTCCCTTAAGCAAGCATTTTACAGTTCTGGGATTCAGTTAAAAGCATCTATCTGCTATTGTTGATCTTGGCAGTGCTGGAATGTGTACCTGATCCTTAAGAGGAACTGACAAGAAAACCAGAGACACTTTGTCATAGAGATATAAAAAAATCCGCCCTGGCCTTGTCTGAACTACTATTCTGAATGTGCTATTTCAAGAAAACAAATTCTTTTTAGTGATAGCATTAATCATAGTGAATTATTTTACCCTCAGCCACAGTGAATAGATAACCTTACTCTGACATGATGAGGGTGGCAAGAGGAATGTGGAGCATGAAACAAATACATCTAATAATTTATCAAAAGCGTTACTGATTCTAGGGATAATAAAATATTGTGTGAAAGAAAAACTTGAAACATCATAGTAGATAAAGGTGGTAGTTGATAGCTGCTTGTTTTAAAGTTCTAGAAATATTTGGTTACTTAGTCATTGCTGCAATGCTACATATTACATATTGCTAATAATATTAAAATTAAAGTGGTAGAAAATTGTACAGTTGGAGCATGGGCTGAAGAGCAGATTTTTTAGGTATTTTTGTTAGCTCTTTGGCAGAATTAGTGTGAACAGAATCAATTTTTTTGTTTCACCGACATGTAAAGGTAAACTCTAAATAGGGAAGTGCAAGCAAGGATGTGTATAAATGGGAGAAAAATAATTGGCATAGATAAAAATGCAGAATTTAATTTCAAAGAATGATTGTTTCTAATTTCCTGTTTCTCACAGTGTGTTCTGGTTTTTCTTAATTTGAACCTTTTTACAGTATTGCTGCAAAACTTGTAGGTAAGTGGGTCATAGGTTTCTGGCTTTGGTTTTATTACATCATAAAAGAAGTGACAAATGTCTGGATATGGCTGAAATCTGATTTTGTTTCAAAAATAACACCTCAATAGGAAGTCTCGTGTTGTTGATACAGTGTGAAGGCAATTCTAACTGTCACAATTCCATTCTTCAAAAACTCACCAAGTGGGCTCTCTTTCTTTCTCTTTCTTGATCTCATCTTGCTCGCTATTGCCCTTCCACATTTTCCAGCAAAAGATAGGTGAAAGTTGATTTAACAAAATTTTTTGAATACAAGCAATAGGGTAAAATAGGGTTTTGTTTGTCTGCTGAAAACAAGAATACCATTTCTGTGCACTTCTGCTTCAGCAGGTGGGATGACAGGTTCTTCAAAACGAATAATATTAATACTTTCAATTTTCAAGAACTTTAAATGCCTTATGTCCAAGATGGTTTCTAACAGTAAAGGAGATTAAATTGGTACAAATAGTTGATAAGTGATGTGGCTTTTTGTGTGTTTGTTGGGTTGTTTTTTTTTTTTTTTTAACTAAAAATGCCAGGTTCTGTGTTGAAGTGATTTTATAATGACGTTTTCTCTCTCTTGCTGGTATTTATTTAGTGACCTTTTCCAACATGTTTACTCTTGTGCATTGTCTCCATAGAGAGACAGTTTTAGGATAAGCAGCAGTGTGTGAACATGTCTCTTCTAGTTAAGGCTGTGAGTCAAAGAAGAGCTATCAGAATTTATATTTATTTGACTGGTAACATCACTGGGTCTCCTTTTTAATACATGGAAGAATAAGTGAAGGCTTGTAGTTATGGAATTGATTCTTCAGGAGACCCAAAACCCCTGAACACTTTATTTTCTCTGACTGCTGTTTTTACTATCTAATTCTGTTAAAAGAAGCAGTTTAGAATTAGCACACTTAAGTGTTTGGTGGCTGTAGGGAGAGCTGTGAGATAATATAAAGGGAAAAAATGGTGAAAAAGTGTTAGGAATTTATTTATGACTGTGTTAACATGCAGCATCTCAGAAGCATATTAGGCATTTCCTTAGTTTCTGTGAGGTAGAGCTAAGTAAAAATGGGTTAAACAGCCCAGCATGATATAACTACAGATTATTTCCTTGGCAGGTATATAAGCCAAGAGCTGGTATCTGTTCAGAGCTGTGAGCTTTGCACCAAGTTATAGTCAAGATATTTAGGAACACCTGGGGAGCCATTGCCCCATTAAAACAATACTCAAGACTGATTTCACCTAGAAAGAAAATAAAAGCAGTCTTGATCAACTGTAGTTCTGAAAAGTGCTTATGTTTTGTCCACAGGAAGCTCTGGAGTGGGTGTAACCTCAGTATTAAATCAGAGTACTTAACAATCTCTGATAATTTAGAGTATTTAATTACCCTTTGATAATTTTGTTTGACATCCTATGTCTACTATTTTTAGTTATATCCAGATTATAATAAATTTAGTTGTGCATCCACTTGTCTTGCTATAATTTTTCCCTTGTGGCTGAATATCTGGAAGTGTAAGTGATGGGCATGAGAAGTCATTTAAGCAAAAGATGTTTGTCTAAACTTATTTGCTGATTAGGATAGAGGAGAAAAAAGAAATTAGCTTACAGATGCTCCAGTCTAATTTTTCAGCATTTTTTAAATACTTGAAAGCATTTCCTGTCTTTCTTTATGGCCCTCAGAATCACTGTGTAGTGTTGAATCTAGCCAAGTGGTGAGGTTCTTTGTCAGATTCAATGCAGCCTTTGAGGGATCTTGGGCTGGGGCATTCCATACTGGGAGTTTTCAAGGAATATCAGGCAAGATAAACTTGGAACTAGTGTGTGGTTCAGGAAATTCCTGAACCATGGGACTTGGAGTATATTTTTTTTTTTTTCAAGGGAAAGTCAAGTTTTAAGTAAAAGATGGAAGGATGAAGACTGGTATTAATGTAAGTTTTTTTTGCAATACACACCTAGGATGAAATATGTAGTACTACTGCTCAGTCAGAACAATGTATTTTTAATGTTGGGGGTAGCAAATACAAATACCTGTCAGAAATTGTGTTAGGAACTAGGACAGACTGTAGTAATCAATGGTGTCTGCATGGAGTTCTGGGAAGGCATCAGTCTCCCTGTTTAATAGAGTCAGATGGGTACTAACTTCACTTTGTCCTGAGCTGTGTTTGGGTTTATGAAAGGATTCATGCACTACCCCCTTTGTAGTCCCTGTGCTTAGAATTTTTGTTAAAGATAGCAAAAGTCTGTCTTTGAACCTTTCTTTATTCTGACATAAAATCCTTGTACTGGTAAGCCCTTTTAACCATTTGTTAACATTCATGCCCTAAATCACTTTAAAATCATATTGAATTAATTTATGGCTGTAGCCTTGCTTACATTAATTGAAAAACAGCTATTCTTATGACAATCATGAAAATGCTGTGGGGAAAAACACAGCACAGTATGCTGTGTAAGCTGCCACTTTACTCGACAACACTTCTTTCTGTGCCAGAGTGACAGAAGAACAGTGAGGGAGCACAGCAGGCACTGGACTAAAAGAAACAAGCATTTCTGCTAGGTCTGTCACCTAGGGACCATAATGAACTCCAGCAATTGAAACATTAGCTTTGCAGCCTTAATCAAGTGCGGTGTATTTTTCTTCCCTCTGTTTCCTCAGTGTAGAAGTTTACCAAATTGCTGTGCTGGTTCCTGGTTCCCTGTGCCCTGGTGTGCTCTGAGCCCTGAGCAGCTGCCTGCTGTTTGGAGTTGGCTGGTTGCTCTCCAACGCCCTTTGGGTGTGCAGATTCCTTACCTGACATTCTTTGAAAGTTGTTTTGATGCCTGGTTGCCTTAGATTTCCTCACAGCTTCAACCTGTTCTCTCTGTTTTTAGCTGTGTAAGAGTTAATCTTTTAAACCCACAATATTTGCACAGGATTTAAAAGAGAATAAATGTTCAGTTCTTGTTTCTGCAGATGCAAACAATAAAGTTTGCAAGGTCTCTGCTGTGGTTTTTTTTTGGGGTTTTTTTTTTTGGTTTTTTTTTTTTGGTGGTTTTTTTTTTTTTTTTTTGTTCTGAGGTTGAGGCCTCATGAGGGACCTGAGTAGGAACCTGCTCCCCTGCAGTTCATGTCCCATTGCTAGAATGGTGGAGACTTTCTACTTCAGGTCACGTTCCTGAATCTTGACTCTGGTGCCCCAACAATCCCCTTTCAAGAGAACACCTCACGCTCTCCTGGGCTGTTTGCCTTGAATCTGTTTAGATCTCTCTTCACCAGCACTTTTTAAAAATTTATTTAGCAGTTTAGACCTCGTTCTTTAAGCAATTTTCTCCCCATGAAGGCAGTAGTAGTAATTCTTCACAGACTCCTTACTCTGTCAAGAGTTAAAGGCATTCCACTGCTAAAATCATGATTGGAATAGTTTTAATTTAGCAACTCTCATTGCCATTTCCCTGGTGGAAAATTGAGTTCTGGTATGCCAAAGATGTGTATACCACAGACATATGTGCCATGAAATAGTAGTCTCAACAACATTGTTCTCAAAATACTAATCAGAATGTATAGCTTACATTTGGATCTATTCTCCTAGACATTTTTATAGCGGTCAGAAAGCTTGCAAATGGTATCCGTGTTAAGATCACATTTTTTGATGCAGCTTCACCTAGAACATTTTTACCCTGTAGAGATTAGTGTGAAGTTGTCAAAATGATAGGAAATGAGAAATTATACTCATTTTTCCATGTGAATTTTACAGGTGATCTTTCATATATGAAGTAGAATTATGTGTGTGCTGTGACCAAATTTTAAGTATGCACTAAGCTTCATACTCTTTGAAAAGCACTGTTTGATTATTGATAAATCTGAGTGGTCAAGACCTCAGTTTGTGCTTCTCTAAAAGCTAGATTACCCCACCCTTACAGAGAGCAGCATATGCACAAATAAGTCTTGAACATATTGCATATTTTCTCAACCATGTCACCCAATCAGTAGAAATGGTCTCTTAAAGCTTGTGTAAAATTAGAATGGGATTCAAGCCTATCTAGGGAAATCTATTTTTCAGATACCTTTGGGAATATGATTGAAGGAGTTGTGTAAATTTTTCCCCTGTTTTCATTGTGTTAAAAACCATGGAATTACATAAGTGGGGAGGCCAGAGATGGAGGAAAGGCTGTTCAGGCAGTCAGGCAAAAGGCAAGGCCAGAAGAAGTCACTCTCTTTGGTGATGACCTGTCATGGGCACTCACAGACAAAGGGCTGGCTGGCTGACTTTGCAGTCTTTTTTGGCCTCTAATGTATCAGTTGCCTTTTGGTGGGACCATGAGCATCTGCTGCTCAGAGATGAGTACTCCAAAACCAAGTGACTCAAAAATTTCTTGCCATGGGGATGGTAAATGAAAAACTGGGTTGGGATTACCAAGGAGTAGACTATGAAGACCCAAAAATTAGTTGATCTGCTGGGGTAAGCTTCAATGGGAGTACTCCCTTGTTGGAGTTCTCTATTTGAAACCAGATCATTATATTCTGTGTAGACCTTCAACATGAAATGTATCTATCAATTAAATATTTATTCTCTGTGTATATTGAATCAGTTTTACCTCAGTCAGAACCTCTACATCCAGACCACTGCTATATAGCTGTGCTTTTTACTGAGAGCTTTAACCTTTTTGGGTATAATCACTCCAAACTATAGGTGAAGAACCTGAGTACAGGTATTCATTCAGCACTTCAGCCTCTGCTATATCAAAGAGTCAAAGGAAAATATGAACAGAGATCTAATACTTTAACACTGAAGCAGAAACCTAAAGGTCCTCAGCCCTGCCTCAGAAAGGATTTTTTTATCCAAGTCCCAGACGTGTTTGCCACGCAGCTGTTATATTCAAATTTACTGGAAGATCTGAAGACTTAGGATCATGTCTGTAGACTGAAAATTGATGTCACCAGTAATTTTCTTTATCATCTGCGTATGAGAGGAGGAAAGAAAGACAATGTTGTGTAAGGCTCTGGAAATGTTAAAATTAATAAATAGCTCTGAACTGGGCTGTAAATGCATTTTTACAGGAGAAGATAGCAGTGAGCTCTTAGGGAAACATACTAAATTTGGAGCAGATGGAGGGAGTTTAATTTGTTTAAAAACTCCTATGATATTTAAGTGTTTGAGGAAAAGTTTGAAGGATTTGAAATGGTACTATTGAAAACTGCATGATTTATAACGGGGCTTCAAAAATCCAGTTCATGCTGTAATTTTGGGTTTATTTTTAATTTTTAGCAAGGAACGAACAGAATTTTTGGGAAATCTGTTGATTTTCTATTTCTCCTACTCGTTTGCTTGTCAGGTTTTGAGCTTGGCTTCGCTATGGCGAGTCCCAATGCCCTGGTGTGCTGGGAAGCCCAGTTTGGGGACTTTCACAACACGGCTCAGTGTATAATAGACCAGTTCATCAGCTCCGGCCAGGCCAAGTGGGTTCGGCACAACGGGATCGTCCTGCTCCTGCCACATGGGATGGAAGGAATGGTGAGTGCTGCTGGCTGCAGTTCCCTCTCTGCAGCTGGAAAAGCCAAAGGTGGCTTGTGGATCCAGAGGTGATAGGAACCCAGGGGAGAAAGGCACTGTTAAGCACGTGGGGCTGCCTCGGTGTTATGGGAAGTATGCAGATAGATTGACTGGTGAAAACCAGAAAACCCTGAGAAATATTTCTGAGCTCTTAGCTTTGTGTCCTTCGTAGTGGTGTGTACCACTTCCCCCCATTTTTTTTCCTTTTTTTTCCCCTCTCTTTTTTGGTATCTTTCCATAACTCACTGCCTTCCTTCCCCAGAAAGCTGCATTCTCAGTGTACAATAAGAAAAAAATCATATCTGAGAGTGCTTGCTTGGTTTTATTTTGCATAAAGTATATCTCTGTAAAATCTGCACTAAATTCTCGTGCTATGAAATTATATATAACAACTTCAAAATGTCTTTAAAAATCATTGACCTTGGTTAATTTTGATATAATAAGAAATCTCCCTCTTTCTGGAAAGGAAAATATTTCTACTAGCTGTTGACTGTCTTTGGTGGCTAGTAGGAGGAACTAGACAATGTCTTAGAGGGAAAGGGTGTGGGTACACACTATGTGTAAAGTTACGTGAAGTTCATATCATTAGTGGAATTGTTCTTCAAATATTTTAAATTATTTTTAAGATTACATGAGCATCATGTCAGGCAAGGTTAATTTTCTCCTTTTCAAATACATTAACCTTCATGAATTATTGCATGTGTGTTTCTAGTTTTCTGTTTAAAAAAGCATAGTTTGTGCCACAGTGGCAATCTCCATCTATATAAATGCTTTAGACCTTTTCACTTCAAACTGTGTCATTTCCATTCTCACAAACAATTTAGTTTATTTCCATTCAATTATGATCCTGTCCTGATACACTGGGGTGCATTCATATCTTGTGAATGGCTTTCCATATCCATTGTGCTTAAAGAATAATGGGTCTGATGCTGTTCACAAGGGTTTTGATAAATTAATTTTTTTAACTGTATCCTGAGGGGACAACCTGAATGAGCCCTCAGCAGGAGGTGTGGTCCTCTGCAGGGAAGCACTCAGCTTAAGGGGTGGTTCTCTGCTACTTAGAATACATTTAATCTTTCTTTTTCCATAGTCACTTGGCAGAGAAGATTTGTACAGGTCTGAAATATGCTTATTTTGCTACTAGTGTCAGCTGCTTTTGGAATATTTAAGAATTCCACCAGGCTGCTGAAATCCTTTTATCTTCCCAGAGGACCTTTTCATTAGAGGAGGAGTAGTCTTTCTATAACTACAGTGTTGGGGACAAGATGATTTGGGGAAGGATTCTTAATGGGATATGGATCCCTTCACCTCTAGGTCATGCATTCACAGGCAAGTTGGCTGTGATTGAAAGACTCTGCAGCCTAATGGCTCCTTGGGGACTCATCTGAAAGTAGCTAATGGATTCAGTATAGGTCTCACTGGATAGGTGGTCACAGTAGAGATAAGCCCTACCCCATCCCACGCAGAGGTTGCTGGCAGTCTGATTGGTGGTGTCAGCACAGAAACCAAAGATGGATGTGAACGCTGAGGCTCTGGACTGAGGTTGTTGCTGGGGCAGTGTATGAGTGATGGGAAAGCCTCACCTGCCTCTCCTGTAATTGTTTGCTGGTAACATCTCTGTTCCCAGTGTACTGACTGCAGTGTGCTTTTGAAGCACTGGGTTTTGTACTGTGTGTGCCATGCTTAGTGCATGGATTTGATTTACGGCAAACAGATGTGAGCAGAAGAGGTGCTACAATGGTGCCCAGTGCTACTGGGCTGCTACTGTGCACCACAGTTTTGTGCAGCTTTTCTCCTTGCTCTCAAGTCCTTTCCTGTCTGTGACCAGATTATTTGGCACCTCAAAAGTGGAGGCAGAATTCAAAGGAGTGGTGAATACAAGGTACAGTCCTAGGCTGTTTGTGTTATACCTTTGTTGCCAACAGAATGTTTTTTTCCTTTGAATTCCCTTAGTCCATGAAGCAGACTGAATCACAGAATCATAGAATGGTTTTTGTTGGAAAGGACTGTAAAGACCATCTACTGATCACCATGGCAGGGAGCCTTTCACTAGACCAGGGGCTGCTCAAAGCCTCATCCAGGCTGGCCTCGAACACTTCCAGTGACAGGGCATCTACAACTGCTCAGAGCAACCTGCTCACCACCCTCACAGCAAAGATTTTCTTCCTTGCATCAAACCTATACTTGGTCTCATTGCAGCATAAAGCCATTCCCCCTTGTCCTATTACTGCCCAACCTTGTAAAAAGTAGCTCTCCAGCTTTCTTGCAGGTCCTGTTTAAGTACTGTAAGGTGCTGTAAAATATTTCACTGGAACAATCTCTTCCTCAGGCTGAACCATCCCAACCCTCTCAGCCTGTCTTCATAGGGGAGGTGCTCCAGTCCTCAGATCACCTTTGTGTCCCTCCTATGGATCTGGAATCCTGCACTTGGAATTAGGAAGGATGATATGTTCAATCAAGGGGGACTACCAGTTGTCAGAATAATGACTGATTGTGGAGTTCATGTATTAAGATTTCAATAGAGGAAGATATTATGTGATCCATATAAAGAAGAAATCTCTTTATGAGCGTTATTAGCTTAGGAGACATGGAGAGAGTTGAGAGGTGTAATAGTTTGTCTGTGGGTTAAAATACTTAACAGCTGTGTTAAAATTAAAGCCCTTTCTAAAGGCACCTGTCATTTGAACAAGCCAAGGCTGTCAGCAATAGCAATACATAAAAAAGAACATTGCATTCTCATGCTCCTCACAGCTTTCTCTTATCCTTTATAAACAGGCACATAAAAAGTAAAAACAACAGATTCTGTGGCATTCCTTATTCCTGATAATTTCTGTGGCCAGCATGCATGTTTTGCTAATGTAAAATGGAGCTAACAGCATTTGTGCAATTCAAGTAATTGCCATGGGTACTGTTAGTGAGACAGTGGATGGGAGTGTTCAGTAATGACAGAACATAAAATATCTCCTAAGGAGGCAGAAATTAATCATACGTTAGTCTGGCAGAAGTGTGTGTGTGTATTTTGATCCATTTTAGCTAAAGCATTCATCTCAGTATTTGGTCCTATACTGAACAGTGGGCAGTAGTAGGACAGCTCCTGTGCCTGCTTTTGTTGCTAATACAGCAAAAATAGTCAGCAGGTAACTTTGTTTGTCCTGGTCAACATGCACGAAGAGTGACTCACTGCAGTACTCTGAGGCACCCGGTGCTTCTCTTCCTGACATTCCTTATGCTGCTGTTTGCTCTGCATTAGCAAGGTGATTGTTATGCCCACATGGACCACTGCCTTTCCACTGGTCTTCACTGTGCAGCTAGTCTGAGGGTAGAAATCACTTGCAGCTGGTAGAAATGTTAGAAATACATGTGAAACCCAAACTCCTATGAAAACAGAAGATGAGGAATTCTGTCCTGTGGTGTGTCCTCTCTCCCACTGCTGCTGTTGATGCCTTTGGCTGGGGGTCAGGTGTACAGCTGGTGCAGAGGGGGACAGGAGGTACTCGTGCAGTGAGTACTCTAGACTGATGTCTTACTGCTCATTTGGCTCTTTAACATTGTTTTAAATGGTACCTTTACCAGGGTCCAGAGCATTCATCAGCCAGGCCTGAGAGGTTTCTGCAGATGAGTAATGATGATTCTGATGCCTATCCAGTAAGTAGTTTTGTCCTTTTCTTGCTTTTCATATCCCAGAGATTTTTTGTTAGTAGCATCCTTTTAGCTAGGTATAGCAGGTTAGGATTTAGCTTCAAGTCATGGTGTAACTTTAACTTGATCCCAGTAAAAGTAATGGAAGTAAGCAGCATTGCTGCTCATTACAAAGCTGAGGTCATATACAGTTAATTTCTGGCAGCATGATCTTTTTATGGCTGTTCTCATGGCCAATGATCCCAGTTGTTTATACTGCTGTGTGCACTGCAAATAGGTGTCTCTAGCCAATTTCTAAAGGAGGTCAAGTGAGACTACCCTGGCTCTTTGCAATGGAGCTAGATTGTACTGCTAGGAGCATGAAAATAAGCAACTTCTAATTTTGATTGGACTAAGGCTTTCACAGATTGATCATTCACTTCTACAGATAAAGTACACAGCTCTATAGGATGGGAAAGAGAGTGAAAGCCAACTGTACACTGTAAAATTGAATTATAGTTTAACATTCTTTCAAAGTGCTTCTGTTTTGTTTCTTCCATCTGCTAATGTCCTAGTCCTCCTCAGTCTTCCTTCCTGGACTTCCCTTCTTTTCTGAATTAATGGAAACTTTTCATGCTTATTTGCATAAATTTTTAGGAAGAAGTAGAAACAGAAAGGAATGATTTGTAGGGATACTTCCCTAGCCAATAAAACAATCTCAGCTGAGAGCTGCTAAATAGTTTTTTTGGGGAAGGGAGTTGCTGAGAGTCAGGAATAGAAGGATGGTTTTCACACCTTTTATCTGATCTTTGAGACATTTTTCTAATGCTGTTAATGTTTCTCTCAGGAGTTCACTGAGCAGTTTGAAGTTTCCCAGCTGTATGAATGCAACTGGATTGTGGTGAATTGTTCAACTCCAGCAAATTACTTTCATGTCCTCCGAAGGCAGATCTTGCTGCCATTCAGAAAGCCGGTAAGGTTACCTTAATGGACTTGATTATTCCAGGTAAATTAGCCCTCAGACAAGGAGTGGCCTTTGCATATGACACACTGCTGAAAAAAATGAGGATTGCTAGCAAAAAACCTTAACTGAACACAGGTTGAAGTTGCCAGTATGATGGAAAGGATCTCAGCTCTGATTTACTATGGCTCTAAAGCTTGATTTTCAGCTTTGCTTCCATCTGGCTATGCAGCTCTTCAGATGAGCTTGTCAAGATATTCGTGATGTAGCTTAGAGGTTGCAGAACTAGCATTTGCATGTCTAATTGCTGGAACTTCAAAGGCCCAAGGTACGATTGTTGAATGTTTTACTGGTTCATAGCTTGTGATTCGATTTTGTTGTCAAAAAAAAGTATAAGCAGTGAGTTTTGAGAACCTGTAAAAGGAGTAGGCTACCTAAATCTTCTGAATAATTTTGAAAGTTTCATGGCTTTCAAAACAGGAAAAAAATCATTTACTGTGTTTGCTATTCATACTAATTTATTCTATATCATATTCAGTTTGTGATTTTTGTGTGCACAGTGTTACAAATGTTGCATGTGTAATGATGATAAAGGAGCTCCTGACTCTTGGAAAAATTTCTGTCTTACAGCTGATTGTTTTGACACCCAAGTCACTGCTGAGGCATCCAGAAGCTAAATCCAGTTTTGATGAAATGGTGTCTGGTAGGTCACCTCATAGTATTGTGGGGAAATAATTAGCTATACCAAGTTGATGTCAGACTGAAGAACAGAATCTGCTCTGCAAAGTTTGTCTTTTCTTTCGGCATAATTCCTGTGGAGCTGCCATAGTGAGACTTTGAGACTTTGACATAGTGAGTCCCATAACAGGGACTTTTGCTGAAAAATTTGCTTTCACATATAGATTCTTAATTTTAACAGGTTTATCTTGAAACCTTAACCCTTAAACTTAATGGTAAGTGCATTCCCATCTCTGCAGGGAGTTTCCCCTCAAGAGGCTACTATGTCCCTCTGCTCTTTTTCTCTTCATATAAAAATGTAGTTTTTCGTTGTACTGCCCAGGCATCCTGACCCCATGACTGAAGTTTGGGCTGTAATTACACCGGGCCCATTTGGAAGAATAATGTGCCCAGTTCTTATTACAATGCTTGGTTTGGGGCTGCTGTGTCACACCAGTGATCTAAAGTGAGATCAGTGAGTTCAGAGCTGTTGTTGGCATGCCATCAGCACCAAGAGATACACAGTGACTGCAGGGGGAATACCAAACACTGCAGTGGTTTTGTCCTACCTTGCACTGGATAGACTGTTGGAGTGGCATCAGGAAATGCAGTGGCATGTAATGAGTGAGGGATTAAAGTGACTGTTCAGAGTGAGAATGTGGGCATAGGTATGTTGGTCTACCTCCAGTTCCAGTGAGGGTCTTGATGGCTGTCAGAAGAGAGCAACTGCTCAGTTTTTTAAAAGCAACTTACACTATATAAATGTGCTTAAATATTGTATTATCTTATTTTTCTAAGTGTGTAAAATTTGCTTCTCAAGCAAAGGCATTTGCTGTTTTTATTACTGTTTAACAGCTCTGTAGAACGGGTCAGATTAGAAATTCTGTAGGCTTTGGGATTTGTCACTTTGTCTTGGGAGTTCCCTCTACTTCAGGCTAACCTCAGTAGTGGCCAAACTCCAAATAAGCATTGAGTTTTGGCATATTTTCATGTTTCTGCTGAAGAGGACAACAGGTAATAAAGTGTTTCTGACTCTCAGCTAACCCTTTTTGCTCTGCTTTTAATAGAAAGCTGAGAGAGAGGAAGATTGACTCCAGCTGATCCAATGAAGGACAGATTCAGACTTTTTTAATGATGAATTCTGCCGTTCAGTGGGACAAGATAATTCTGACATAAATCAGTTCTTCTTTGATATGTTTGTGCTGTTGCTTTCCTTCCCCAAGATAAATGATTCAAACAGGAGCTTATTCTCCTGATAAGTGAGTGTGCTGATTCAGAATAGGGATCGAGCTGCTGTCTGCTACCCTGCAGTTGTTTAATGTGGAAATAATTCTACTCAATCATATATGAGAGCAAAGAAAAGGATATTTTAGACCATCAAGTCCCTCTTCCAGCATCCCAAGCAAACTGTACTCCTGGGAGGTGATAGCAGTGAAGATATGCATCTGAAATTGTACTTGTACATTAGCATTTATATGTATGGCTCAGCTCTGTGCTAATTCTTGCTTTGCTATTGCTGTTTTAGCTCTCAAACAGAGGTTTAAATCAAATATACAGCAGTGATGTGTGTGCTTGGGTAAATATTTCTGCAGTTGCCAGATTCAATTGCATTATGGATATGTGTTTTGTTTTTATAGAATATTCTGAAATTTGAAAAGCTGTATGAATGTTACATTGTTAAGATAATCTTGGAAAGAAGAGAATATTCAGGTGATTCTCTGAAAAAAAAATCCAAACTGGAAGCAAAGTTGAGCTGTCTAATCAATTTAAAAGTAAAGATGTAATACACAGCACAAAGCTGAAAAACAGTCTACTATTGATATGATTCTGCCTATTAAGTATGGTGAAAGACTAGATTATTAACAATCTTCTAACTTCTTGAAACAGAACTGCTGAAAGTCACTTTAGCCAAGCTACCAGTCTGAAAAGTAGGACCAGACAGGCAGGAGAACTCTTTGATCACTGCAACCTGCTGCTTGCTCAGTAAAGGACTAAAGGACTGTTTCTTGGGCTGCTTTATTGAAATGTCAGGTCCACTGAGGACACTTTTTCTAATTTGTGCTCCAACTAGGTACCACTTTCCAACGTGTGATTCCTGAGAATGGGCCAGCAGCTCAGGCACCACATGAGGTCAAGCGAGTGATTCTCTGCACAGGAAAAGTCTACTATGACCTTGTAAAAGAAAGAAAGAACCAAGACCTGGAGAAACAAGTAGCTATAACCAGACTTGAACAGGTGAGCTCCCTGATCTCAGAAGACAGGGTGATGGGGTGATTCCTGTGCTTTTAAATAGACACCTCTCCTGGAATGGATAATGATAGCATTTTTTTAGCACTTAGCATCTTACAAGACATATTCTAATCCTTCGTGGCCCTGGGGAGAAGGAACACATCAATAGCATACTGGACAATGAGATCCAGAAAACTTGATGACTTTTCCAGAACAACATAACAAAGTGAAGATTACAATATGGTAGCACCTTAAATTCGTATATGCAGTCTGCTAGGTTAAATGTTGTGAATAGTGCACTTGAAGCTATATTGTCATTCATTGATTAAGGACACACTACAGCTACTTCACTAAAAAAGCTGTAAGAGTGCAGGTGGTCTGGACTACAACCTACTTCTGTTCATACTAATACAACTATAAAATACTTGTGTGTTCATTTCTGAGTATTAAATCAATTAGAGAAACGTGAGTCATTCTCCATGGAAAAGTAATGACTCACCATGGGTTAATACCACATAAGAGAAGGCCTTGATAATTATTACCCTCCTTTTCCAGATCTCACCATTCCCCTTTGACTTGCTGAAAGAAGAGCTTGATAAGTATCCAACTGCTGATCTAGTCTGGTGTCAGGAGGAGCACAAAAACAGTGGATATTATGATTATGTCCGACCTCGTTTCCGCACTATTGTGAACCGCACTCGACCCATCTGGTATGAGACTTGAAAAACTGCTCTGTCTCCTGGGCCGGTTTGTTTGCTTTTAAATTTGGTTGGGGTTGTTTTTGGGTATTTATGGGTAAGTCAGGTTCTTCACAAATCGAAACCTCTGAGTCTGGGTTCTTAGGTGAAGGAGGGAAAAATCTAGACTACTGTTTCTCAAATACAACATGCACATATTGCACCTTCTTGTAGATCTAAAAGAAGACTAGTAGCAACTAAGTCTGTATTTATTGCTACTTAGCACAGCACTTAGCTCTCTTTTGTCTAAGTTTCTGTCATTTTAAGAATTTCATTCCAGATGTTAGGTTTCTTCAGGAAACAGCTGTTTTAAGAGCTCAGTCCAGGCACCTTTGCATTTATTTTAGATGATTGACTCTCAGATCTGCCCGTGCAGCTGTCAAAAGAATGAGAGTCTTCATTGCCAAAATTATGAGACAGTGTAGCTGGCTGCCCTGGGAGGGATGGGGAGAAGACACAGCTTAACAATGATGGGAGGAAAGAGAGGAAAACTGACCAGAAGGTATAACTTGGTAAAACTTAGATTGATTTTTACTTTAAAAAGATTGATAACTAAATATCCAAAACAGCCAAGCTGACTTAAATGCATCAAGCAGCATGTTCTCATGCTTGTTATTGTCAAAATAGTGTCTCACCTGATTTCTGCCCAATTATTTTTGTCATGAAGGTATGTTGGCCGAGAGCCTGCTGCTGCACCTGCCACAGGCAACAAGAACATGCATCTGGTGTCACTCAGAAGGTTCCTGGATACAGCTTTCAACCTGGAGGCCTTTGAGGGAAAGACATTCTAACTGCAGGGCCTCGACCTGTCTCTGACTAGTAGTCTCTCAAAACACTGCATCCAAAATGAAAGTGGGGAAAATACTGGAAAATATGTATTTTTGCTTCACCAAATAAAAGGATCCAGCAGCTGACTTCATTACTCTGTACCTTGCTTCCCAGTTTATAAGGAAAAAAATTCCAGCTTCTCTTCCACCATTTTTTTGTCACTTGTCTATTTAAATTGGGACCTCTTTGACACAAGAAGCTTCTCTTATCCCAGGATGCAATGTGTGCTTGGGGAGGCTCATATCTCAGTCTGTGGGTGTTCTAATTACTGTAAATAAGTAGAGCAGGTATGGACAGCACCACAGTTATGCACACAAGAGTCATTACCACAAGGAAAAGAAATTACTTATTTCTGTCTATATATCAGAGAAGAGCGATGATACTGAAAAGCAGAGTTGGTAGATGAAATGTACCAGCTGTGTTTGTTGGAAGGAGATGGTGAGGTAACCTGGAGATGTGAGGAGGAAACTGGAAACAGGGAGTCACATTACAAAGTTGTTCAACTGGGTAACAGTAAGTAGTGTGAACCACTTAGATATGAGGTCTAGAAGGGCAGAAGTAAAAGGAACCAAGAAAAGGTTGTTTGGGTATACTTGAAGAAGCAAGAATTGTACGTGAGACCACAGCTGACAGAGCAGTGGGTGATCACCAGGAGAATTCAGAATCAAATTATTTCAACAGTAAGAGGTGCTCCCACTCCCTGGGCTTCTTGTCTCATCAAAATAAAAAGCTGTAATTAGAAACTTTAGCTATGATCAGGTACTACATACCCAGCCAGGTTTCCAAAAAGGCCTATGTGCCTTGTATTGACCTTTTATTTGGCTTGGATAACTGTGATGATAAACAAACAATCCTTTTGTCAGAGCAAAGAAGTAATGTAGTAAGGTACTTACCATGGAGTCCAGAACTGAACTTAGTCGAATGTTTGTGAAACTCTGTAGATTCCTTTTAATTCAGGCTGGTTGCCCTGGGCTTTTTCTCTCACTGAAGCATTTCAGCTAATTCAGTCTTTGAAAACCTAATAAACTTGGAAAGTACGGCAGTTGACAGCCACAAATGTTGTTTCCTATCCCTTTCTATAGCTCAAAGCATTAAGCTGATAGACAGTAACCATCACCCAAAGTATTTTAATGCTTTTATGAATGCTTGTTTCTGTAGCAAGAATTGAGTGCAGCTAAATATTCCTGGCTGTTTATTGTATTCTCAGCTTGCATAAGGGAGTCAGTGCTGCATGAAATATGCTAAATGCACTTTTGCCACAGTATAGGCAGAGGTAGAAAACAAAATTAACATAGAAATATAAACAGTAAATGACAGATTTTTCACTCTCATTGTATATCATAGATTGTGGCATAATAGTTTCATAAAAATTCCATCAAAGATGCAAAATACCCAATAAAATAGAAGTACATAAGAAGAAAATTCTCTGTTATGGCTGTTCTTTTTGAGAATTTCTCCTTTGAGTGGGGACCTTAACATCCTAATTGTAAAAATGTTAGGACAGCTCATTTTTCTGTTTTTCATTTGTTTCCTCAGTGTTGGCTTATTTAAACATAGAAGCAGTGAAGTAGACAGCATTTGGACTAGCAAAAAATAACTATTCAAAACCATTGAGTCAAAATTGACAACAACATTGACATTATATTAGACTTTTGTTTTATTATTTGCTGATTTTTCTGAAATAACACATTAATGCATTTTTATTTCAATGAGAGTTTTTAAAATACTGGAACTTGACTGGAATTAACGTCTCTAATTTCTAAACACTGTAAATAATTTCTCTAAATGTGCTGTGTCTTCAGCTTTGAGATGGTATATGATTATAAGATTCATCTTTGTATAATGTTTAACAAGGACTGAAGTATTATATAGACCTCTTGTGAAAAAAAGTTGGCACTGAAATTCAAATGACAGCTTTGCAATTTAGAAGAAACAGCAAATGTGAGAGTGAGTTGACTTCATCTATTTGGGGACACAGCATGCTGTGCATGCCTGCAGCAACAAGACTTGCTAAGATAATCAGCTTCTGTCACTGTTCTTCATTCCTGACTGACAACAGGAGTGTGCTTGATGGAAACCTTTGCTCTACCCATGGTACAGTCAGAGTCTGTGCTAGAGCAGAGGAGGAGCCTGTTCTCCAGAAGAGAAACCATTCTGTTTGTTCCAGGAGGTAAAAATTAATATAGGAGACTAGACAAAAACTAGGAATGTGTGTGCATTTTTTGAACTGAGTAGATGAAAGCGCGTGCCTTGGGGGTTATTGTCTGTTTCTTTTATTTATTTTAAGTATCCCTTGCTAGACTCTGGCTGCTGTTCCAAGAGCTCTGGGTTGCTCTTACCTAGGTGCAAAAGCAGCAGATGTGCTGCCTCTGATACAGAGCTGGGAATACCCACTGCTGCTAAGAATAACAACAAAGTGAAAGCTTGGGAACCTCTACTCTGTGTTTTCACACATGCAGATATATATATCTATATATATGTATGTGTATGTATGTATGTGTGTATATATACATATGACTGTGTGTGTATATCTCGTAATTGCTGTTGGCATAGATGATGTCGAACATTATTTAAAACATGAAAGAGGCACACTCAGTACTCACATAAAGCCAGAATGGCTGTAGAAGCAGATAGAATAGATTTGTAAAGTTAACAAGTCTGGTCAAAGATGGAAGAAAAGAGTCCACTGTTGTCTCTTATATTGGCTCAGTGAATTCAGAATGTTTTGATTTTCCAGGCAGCTCCTCAGGTTGGTGCTGGGCCCTGGGACGTGATGCGGGTGTCTGGGCCAGGCTAACGAGCAGCCCAGACAGGTGGGGATAATTAATTCCTGCTAATGGGACTGGCCTGTGTGCTGTGAGGCTTAAAGCCCAGGTTGTGGTCACAGCTGGCCCATCTCTCTCTGATTTGCTGTCCTGCCCTAAACACCTCAAGCAGGTTCCCCTGTTTTCCCCGAATGCAGGGCTGCGGCTGTGCCCTGTGAGGGCCTTGTGTGGGCCCTGCGCGGCGGTGCCGCCATTTCCGCAGTAAGAAGGAGTTATGGAGTCAAGTGTGGGGAACGAGGCCAAGGATGGCTGCTGGGAAAGGCTCAGAAGTGGCCTCAGGCTGCCAGATATTGGACTTTGTATGGGCAGGTAAGAGACTGGGAACTGTGTGGGACGTGCTGTCCTTCCCCTGGGGCGGAGGGAACACTGAGTTATTGTCAGAGCTGCTGAGGACTGTCGGGCTGGGGGTCTCTGAGGCCAGCCAGCGGCGAGAGCTGCTGGGGCTGTAAACTGCTGCCACTCACCGTGTGAGTGCAGTGAGCCTGCCTTGGGAAATGTGAGGGGACTGTCAGTGGTAAAGAAATGCATTTTGTTCTTTTGGCAAAAAACCCCAAACACTTAAAAAAATTAATTTTCCTTTCCTGGGGAGAGGTATAGAATAACCTGGATTTTTCCAGGCTGCAGCCGTCATCCCCAGGTGAGACCTGCTGAGGTGGACAGACACTGAACCTCTGCTTTTCCCTCTTACATGTCCTGTGGATAAAATTGCAGGTCTTGGAGATTTTTGTCAGTATCTGTCACACAACCTTTCTGTGCTGATGATCATTTTAGACACCAAAAATACTCTTGCAGATGCGGGTAATTTTGCATCTATCTTTCTGCCCTTATTCCTGAATAGTAAAGGTCACTGATTAGAGTAACTACAATATGGCATTCAAGATTCCTATTAGGTCTGATTTTAAAAAAAATTGTGTTAGTTTTTTTTTTTTTTTTTTTTGTCCTTGCTTCTTTTGACTGTTGAGTAGTTCTGCAAAGTCCAAATGTGTAGCAATAGAAGTATTGGTTTCATGGACTCTACTGATTAAAAAGAAAATTGAAAGTTTTTCTTCATGCTTATACATAATGAGGACAGAGATTGAGTACATTTTCTTAATCATTGGTGTAAGATATCAGGGAACAGCATGCAGTCTAAAACAGAAATTCAGCATACTTGCTGGAAGGAAACAGACTAATAGTTTTTTCTAATTTGTGTTTTTTAACATTGAAACCACTTCTGGTTTTAGATACCTCTTAACAGTTCAGGTTTTTTTAATGCCGTTATTTAAAATGTCACCTATTATCCAAAAGGAATAAAAGAACAAAAGGAGTAATTATTCAGGAAAAATAATATTTTAGAGAATTATTAGCTTTGATTGAAAATGTTTCACAGATTTCCTCAAAGTTTTCAATTATTAATAAGCGCACCAGGCAGTTCCTTTGTGATACTTAAGTGATTCAGTCATTAATGGCAAATGGAAATCTAATTTGTTTAGAGGGGAAAACAGTTGTAGTCATCGCTAAATATGCTGCGTGAAACCCTGAATTATAATTTCAGAAATCTTTACTTCCTGCTCAATAGCCCATAAATTCACAGATACTCCTACAAAAAGAGCACATAGACGCCTTCTGCTCACATCATGCACAACCAATGTGAGATTCTCCTCCACTTCAGGACAGGGTGCATTCCGCCTGCCACAAGAGGAGGGGGTCTGTGTTAGAGCTCAGCTTGGCTCTCAGTTATTTTCCTTGGGTGGATAGTAGATTATCCTTATAATGGGTTTGGTTTTGTACTAGTTTAAGCGACTGCACTTCCTTGGAATTCCACCTGCAGTGGAATAACAGCTGTATGCATATAGACTTGGTTGAAGGGCAGTGATTTGGTGCTCTCACAGAATTCCCCATGCACCTGTGACTCTACCTGGGCTGAAGGAAAAGTGCAAGTCAGTGCTAGAAGCTGCCTGAAATCCCACCCCTGCACCCTGTGTCTGGGGCTTGGCTGTGCCAAAGAGGAGACCTGGCTCTTCTCTCTGCTGGCCCGAAGTGACATGCCCAGGCTGTGAGGTCGGTTCTGCAGTGATGCCCTGGCTAGTTTTGCTGGGGTTCCCACTAAAGCTCCTCTATCTGGGGTCAGTCAGTTCCACAGGAGAGGCTGGGAAGTAGATGTGAGCAAGCACTGTGTGCTGGCCCAGACTTTGCAAGGGTAAAGTTAATTAGTAAAAGCCAAAAGACATATGAAGGAATAGTATGTTTCAGATGCATTAAAGGAACAATTTTATTTCCCCAGATTAGCACACCCACTGCTGGGGGTAAAATAAAGAGGGTAAAATAAAATTGTCTAATATAGAACATGACAAAACGACCGTACATAATTTCCCGTGACTAGAAATAAATGTTTAACAAACTGCTCCCAGTAGGCTTGTTAAAGATGAAATATTTATTACTATATGTTAATTACAGGGTTTAAGCAGTACTTAAGTAATTTAAGGGGATTGGCTTCATCTTGCTTTCAATAATTGTATGTGATTGAATCCTCCTTCATCCGTTGTTTTTTGTGTACAGCAGTTTGCCCAAAGATATCCTTACTTAGTCCATGTTTGCAATGTTGGTTATTTTGTATAGGATGAACAGTGGACAGCTTTCTTCCTGAGTTTCACAGCCCAAGCAAAATGAAATTTCATCAACACTGATGTTTTTGCATGTAGACTGAAACACGATAACTTGTGAAGCCTAGAAAAATATTATTGCTATGGTAAAGTTTTATGTTATACTCAGGATATTATTCTCTGGCACTACAGATCTGTTTTGGAGAAGTCCTTATATGCTTTTTTAGGCAGCAATATGTGAGACAAATAAATACTTAGCAGTAAAATTTTCCTCTTTTCCCTGAACATACCATAAGGTATCTGTAAATATTTAGCACTTTTGCATCTTAAAATAGTGGTTTGTGCCAACCCATTTTGCACAAAATTACATTGAATGAAATTTTTGGCTTATCCTGACTTCAAACTGGTGTTGACAAAACTGTCATCTTAGAGTTGATGAAGAGCTGAAACTCTGGGTTGCTTAGGGACTCTTCATTGTAACAACCTACTGCCTATTCAGAAGGAAAGATAAACAGAAATAAAGCAACTTAATCTCCAGTGATTCTAAACGGTTCCTGGTTACACTCTCAGATAATTAACTTCTCCTGTGATGTGCTCATTTAATAGATACCTGGTCATATGTGACCATGTTTATTTAATGTGCTCTGCAATATTTATACCACAATACACCCTTCTCATTATAAACCAGACAGTCTTTAATTTATTTACAGACACATATTCTGAAGCTTTTGCTTAGACAAAACTCTACAGGCTTCAGGAGAATATATCTGAGTGTACACGTCGGTTTATGACTGCTCATAAATAGCTTCTGAAGGGACTGCCAGGAAAAAAAAAAGAATATTTTTTCCTTCTTTTCAGTATTACTGTTCTGATATTTATGTGCATTAAAAAATTTGGGACATGCTACATGAAGTCTGATTATTTTTGTTACTTCCATTTTTATTTCATTTTAGTTTACCACAAGCCTGAGGTCCCTCATTAGACTCATCAGTAAAATAATATTTGTCATAATGAA